CTTACTGTAATCACTATGGACAGACTGGTCAGTAGGGATACGTCTTACTGTAATCACTATGGACAGACTGGTCAGTAGGGATACCTCTTACTGTAATCACTATGGACAGACTGGTCAGTAGGGATAGCTCTTACTGTAATCACTATGGACAGACTGGTTAATAGGGATACCTGTTACTGTAATCACTATGGACAGACTGGTTAGTAGGGATACCTGTTACTGTAATCACTATGGACAGACTGGTCAGAAGGGATACCTCTTACTGTAATCACTATGGACAGACTGGTCAGTAGGGATACCTATTACTGTGATCACTATGGACAGACTGGTCAGTAGGGATACCTCTCACTGTAATCACTATGGACAGACTGGTCAGTAGGGATACCTCTTACTGTAATCACTATGGACAGACTGATCAGTAGGGATACCTCTCACTGTAATCACTATGGACAGACTGATCAGTAGGGATACCTCTCACTGTAATCACTATGGACAGACTGGTCAGTAGGGATATCTCTTACTGTAATCACTATGGACAGACTGGTCAGTAGGGATACCTCTCACTGTAATCACTATGGACAGACTGGTCAGTAGGGATACCTCTTACTGTAATCACTATGGACAGACTGGTCAGTAGGGATACCTCTTACTGTAATCACTATGGACAGACTGGTCAGTAGGGATACCTCTCACTGTAATCACTATGGACAGACTGGTCAGTAGGGATATCTCTTACTGTAATCACTATGGACAGACTGGTCAGTAGGGATACCTCTTACTGTAATCACTATGGACAGACTGGTCAGTAGGGATACCTCTCACTGTAATCACTATGGACAGACTGGTCAGTAGGGATATCTCTTACTGTAATCACTATGGACAGACTGGTCAGTAGGGATACCTCTTACTGTAATCACTATGGACAGACTGGTTAGTAGGGATACCTCTTACTGTAATCACTATGGACAGACCGGTTAGTAGGGATACCTCTTACTGTAATCACTATGGACAGACTGGTCAGTAGGGATACGTCTTACTGTAATCACTATGGACAGACTGGTTAGTAGGGATACCTCTCACTGTAATCACTATGGACAGACTGGTTAGTAGGGATACCTCTCACTGTAATCACTATGGACAGACTGGTCAGTAGGGATACCTCTCACTGTAATCACTATGGACAGACTGGTCAGTAGGGATACCTCTTACTGTAATCACTATGGACAGACTGGTCAGTAGGGATATCTCTTACTGTAATCACTATGGACAGACTGGTTAGTAGGGATACCTCTTACTGTAATCACTATGGACAGACCGGTTAGTAGGGATACCTCTTACTGTAATCACTATGGACAGACTTGTCAGTAGGGATACGTCTTACTGTAATCACTATGGACAGACTGGTCAGTAGGGATATCTCTTACTGTAATCACTATGGACAGACTGGACAGTAGGGATACCTCTTACTGTAATCACTATGGACAGACTGGTCAGTAGGGATACCTCTTACTGTAATCACTATGGACAGACTGGTCAGTAGGGATAGTTCTTACTGTAATCACTATGGACAGACTGGTTAATAGGGATACCTGTTACTGTAATCACTATGGACAGACTGGTTAGTAGGGATACCTGTTACTGTAATCCCTATGGACAGACTGGTCAGTAGGGATACCTCTTACTGTAATCACTATGGACAGACTGGTCAGAAGGGATACCTCTTACTGTAATCACTATGGACAGACTGGTCAGTAGGGATACCTCTTACTGTAATCACTATGGACAGACTGGTCAGTAGGGATACCTCTCACTGTAATCACTATGGACAGACTGGTCAGTAGGGATACTTCTCACTGTAATCACTATGGACAGACTGGTCAGTAGGGATACCTCTTACTGTAATCACTATGGACAGACTGGTAAGTAGGGATACCTCTTACTGTAATTACTATGGACAGACCGGTTAGTAGGGATACCTCTTACTGTAATCACTATGGACAGACTGGTCAGTAGGGATACGTCTTACTGTAATCACTATGGACAGACTGGTCAGTAGGGATACCTCTTACTGTAATCACTATGGACAGACTGGTCAGTAGGGATAGCTCTTACTGTAATCACTATGGACAGACTGGTAAGTAGGGATACCTCTTACTGTAATCACTATGGACAGACTGGTCAGAAGGGATACCTCTTACTGTAATCACTATGGACAGACTGGTCAGTAGGGATACCTATTACTGTGATCACTATGGACAGACTGGTCAGTAGGGATACCTCTTACTGTAATCACTATGGACAGACTGGTCAGTAGGGATACCTCTCACTGTAATCACTATGGACAGACTGGTCAGTAGGGATACCTCTTACTGTAATCACTATGGATAGACTGGTCAGTAGGGATACCTCTTACTGTAATCACTATGGACAGACTGGTCAGTAGGGATACCTCTCACTGTAATCCCTATGGACAGACTGGTCAGTAGGGATACCTCTCACTGTAATCACTATGGACAGACTGGTTAGTAGGGATACCTCTCACTGTAATCACTATGGACAGACTGGTTAGTAGGGATACCTCTCACTGTAATCACTATGGACAGACTGGTCAGTACCAGACTTCCACTAACACTCAATACAACCTGCCTGGCTGCACACTTGAGAGATTAGGAAGGCCAAGCTTGAGAGGTGTGTGTGTGTGTGTGTGTGTGTGTGTGTGTGTGTGTGTGTGTGTGTGTGTGTGTGTGTGTGTGTGTGTGTGTGTGTGTGTGTGTGTGGTGTGTGTGGTGTGTGTGTGTGTGTGTGTGTGTGGTGTGTGTGTGTGTGTGTGTGTGTGTGTGTGTGTGTGTGTGTGTGTGTGTGTGTGTGCGTGCGTGCATGCTGGGAATGATATAATTATGATCAGTATGATTGTATTGTTGTGAATGTAGCAATATCGTTTAGGTAATTAGGGAAAGTTTAACCCCATGTCAGTCATTTTCAGATAGTTCAATTACCCCCAAAATGAGTGTGTTGTGTTCCAAATCGATGACCCTGTGTGAGTCCCAAAACAGACCCTATTACCTTTATAGTGCACCAGTGTCCATTATAGTGCACTAGTGTCTATTATAGTGCACTAGTGTCCATTATAGTGCACTAGTGTATATTATAGTGCACTAGTGTCTATTATAGTGCACTAGTGTCTATTATAGTGCACTAGTGTCCATTATAGTGCACTAGTGTCTATTATAGTGCACTAGTGTCCATTATAGTGCACTAGTGTCCATTATAGTGCACTAGTGTATATTATAGTGCACTAGTGTATATTATAGTGCACTAGTGTATATTATAGTGCACTAGTGTCTATTATAGTGCACTAGTGTTGACCAGGGCCCTATGGGAATAGGGTGCAATTTGGGACACAAGCTGCACAGCCTCAGAGCTTCAGCTGCAGTAGAAAGAATGTGAAGTAGTGTGATGTCTTAGTTCTAAAGGACCTAGCCTTAATCACGGGGACACCCGTGGCTCTGAACACTCACTAAGGAAATCCTACAGCCCTTAGGTAGGAAATGCATAAACCTCATCAGATAGCCTGTCAAAGAATGTCATAAGAGCATTCATCTGTCAGAAGGTTGGTGAATTGCAACAGACAAGGCTGGAGATGAGATGGGTCTTCTACCTGCTTTAGTTGTAGCTGACTCACAACTCATCTCTGTTAATCTCTCTCTTAATCTCTGTCTCTCTCTCACACCTCTCACCTCTCTGAAATTACCATGGAGCTGTGGATCTGAGTAGGCTTATTATGGGGGGAAATATCTGGTCTTCTCACAAAGGGAAATTGTTTTGTAAAATTATACATGTTTGAAGGAGAAGGGAGTTTTATTCTACCAATATGATAATGCATTGTTGAGCGTTACGTTGGTAATAAGGGAAATTACTGTAACATCATCAAATTGTGTCACCTTGTGGTCACCACTGGTATTGCATGTACATGTTATTACATTTACATTTTAGTCATTTAGCAGACGCTCTTATCCAGAGCGACTTACAGTTAGTGAATACATTTTTTTTTTTTATACTGGCCCCCCGTGGGAATCGAACCCACAACCCTGGCATTGCAAACGCCATGCTCTACCAACTGAGTTACATCCCTGCCGGCCATTCCCTCCCCTACCCTGGACGACGCTGGGCCAATTGTGTGCCGCCCATGAGTCTCCTGGTCGCGGCCGGCTGCGACAGAGCCTGGATTCGAACCAGGATCTCTAGTGGCACAGTTAGCACTGTGATGCAGTGCCTTAGACCACTGCTCAGGAGATCATATAGATCTATAGACGTTATAGACATCAATCCACACATTACACATACAAGTATTAAAATAAATACTGACAACATATACTTTGTTAATAATATAAGATCATATTTTATTTATGGCATCTTTACAGTGTTGAAAACAAAATGGGAATAAAGCATGACTTAAAATCTCTCACAGAGAAACAACTTCATACACCCCACATTGATACAGAAATAATACACACAAAAATACATTCATGTGAACTCATTGGACTAGCACATACACACACAGCACATATAAACACATTGGGATATCATGATAACCCCTAGGGTTTCAAAATTCTGGTAATTTCCCCATAATTCCCTGGTTTTCCAGATTAGATACCACATTGACGTGTTCGGACTCAAAATACTTATTACAACCGAATACCACCAACCGTTACAACTCCGATATTATATATTGTTTTAGATCAAAGTCAATACTTCCACACTATGTACTATTAACAATTGGCAGTATCAGTGCTAAAAGTTATATTGAATAGACAATCTGTTTTTTTACGACAAACACATGTAATATTGATGTATATTTATTACCCATTTATTAATTCATTTATGGATTTATTCTTACTGTTAGGATCCAGTCCCCTTCATTATTCTGCCACATATGACAATGTCCCAAATGGCACCCTATTCCCTATGTAGTGCACTACTTTTGACCAGGACCTATGGGGAATAGGGTGCCATTTGAGACGCATTCCATATGACTACATACATACTGTACTGAATGGTGAGGTCATCCATTGAAACTGTATTACTCTATGCAACATCTTTTTAGTTATATGGTTGCTATTATTGTATGAAATGTAGCTATTTCCTGCATGAAATGTAGACATTCATTCTTATGGGAATTCGTTTTTTTTTTATACAAAGCCAGTCTCTCTCCCTCAGAGAGTGGTCTAGATGAGTGAGTGTTTGATATTGCCGCAGCATTTAGTACAGAACATCTTTGTTGCAAGACCTTGTTGTAATAGTTTCAGATAGAAATCCTGCAATACTGTTCAACCCTGAGGAAGAAAAGGTGAATGACTCTTTCATTTACTCTACAGAATGTCAAGCCCACTTAGATGCCAATGAATCACATTATATGGCGACATTCTAAGAATTGACTAGAGAATATAATTAATTCACCCCATAGAATGTTCAAGGCTCAAATCTTTCATAGAACGTTGCAGTCTCTCCCTGAAAGACCTCTGATAGGGAGAATTGTATCTGTAACTCTCACTTAGTTTCACTGGGTTCCAGACTAGAACACTCTAAAACATTCTAGAACATGACTTCCTCACAGCTTCCATAGTCGCTCCCCACCATCTCAGAACCGTTGTAGCAGGGAGAGTTCCGTCCTGCATGCCCAGCCTGCTGGGGTGGAGGGGGAGGAGGAGGGGAGTTACAGTCAGCATAGGACGGCATGGCAACACTGAGGCGCATGCTGAGGCGCCGGAAGCCTGACGACACATTGTCCATGCTGTGCGCATGTTGCGTCGGATAGTAACTGATGGCAGTGGACTCGTTGGGGCACTGAGAGCTGGGTAAGGGAAGACCGTCAGGCCCCAGGAAGTCATCCAGGTTCTGGTTACTGTAGCAGGGGGGTAAGGGAGCGCGGCGGTCAGAGCGCTCCAGGGGAAACGGGAATCCGCCGCAGCGAGAGTTTCTACGTGAGTCTATTGATTCCGTTACAGAACCGTAGGTGTCGTCCACAATGTCGAACTGGGGAAACTCCTGGACCTGGGGGTACTCTTGGACCAAGGGGGTGGGTCGACCGTAGTAGTCAGGATCAGCAGGGTAGACTGCACGGCAGGGAGAAGAGAGAGATACACTCATTATCATTCACTCTAGTCCTTCAGTATAAACACCTTTATTTTAAGATGATCTCCACACCAATGTTCAAAGTGTCCTTGGCGGTTATAAAAGTCCTTAAACTCATTATAGGTAAGGTGTTCTAACCTCCCGAGTGATGAAAAACCTATTAAAATTCAACACCTTGGCGCCTATCCTCTGCAGGAACTGCCTGCCTGACCAGACTATTGCTCACCACCACATGCTCTGCACGTATCACAACTGATAATGGATTACATTCATGCATGGATGAGTAACCTCCATTGTTGTGATCTAAAGGACAAGGTGAGAAGGAGGATGGTATTAATAATGCTTTGTTATATCTCCAGATCATTCTGTTAGGCCTACTGCTGCTAGGTAGCTCTCTCTCTGCTCTCCCCCTCCCCTCTCCCTTGTTAGGCCTAGGCTACTGCTGCTAGGTAGGCTCTCTCTCTGCTTTTTTCTCCCCCTTCCCCTCTCCCTGTAGGCCTACTCTTGACTTTAGGTAGCTCCTCTCTCTCTGCTCTCCCCCTCCCTCTCCCTGTTCGGCCTCCTGCTGCTAGGTAAGCTCTCTCTCTGCTCTCCCCCTCCCCTTCCCTGTTAGGCCTACTGCAGGTACTCTCTCGTCTGCTCTCTCCTCTCTCTCTGCTCTCCCCCTCCCCTCTCCCTGTTAGGCCTACTGCTGCTAGGTAGCTCTCTCTCTGCTCTCCCCCTCCCCTCTCCCTGTTAGGCCTACTGCTGCTAGGTAGCTCTCTCTCTGCTCTCCCCCTCCCCTCTGTCTGTCCTTGATTGCAGGAGTGAAGTCTGGTGTGCGGGAGTCAGGGTTCCAGCTGCAGCTCATTCACCATAATCACCTCAGCCTTTAAGACCCGGTCAAACTTGCCACTCATCGTCAGATCATAGTCAAGACGACCATATTATTGGAACCTGACTCCTGCCTCCGCTTCACTCCTGCCACCACCATCCTGCTTTCCACTACCGGACCTCCCTTTTGGACTCACCACGGACACTAGGACATTACGGTACCACACCTGCTCTGAACCTGGATCTGTTACCCTCCCTGTAAACCTGGACTTGCTCTTCCCCTATTATTGGAAACCTGGACAAATTGAACTTTGTAAATAAACCTGTTAAACCTTCTCTGGCTCGGTGTAGTTGTCTGCATTTGGGTTCAAATCCAGTTAAATCATGACACATTCACCTTCAGACACTTTACCTTTTGTGTGTCTCATCGGTCATGTCAATTAAATGCTGTCACTTATTTTGGGATAAAGTGAAGACCGGCAAGGCATGTCTAGTAAGCTACTACCACAGTTATCAATCAATTAACAACTCAGACAGCTGGTATCTACTCCAATTTCCCCTCTGGGGATTATTAACTTTTATATAATTAATTTTCAATTAACTCACCTTCATAGTCCTGATCCCAGTGGTGTTTCCTGAGGGACTCGTTGTCAGAGATGGATAAAGGTGGAGTAGGGAGGATGGGGGCCACACTACACACCACAGGCCCTTGTGGCTTCTGCTTCCCGGCCCTTAGGCTTACCTGGGACCCCAGCCCCAGGTCCATCTGGCTGTGAGGCCTCAGAGACCTGAAGGGACTGTTATCCAGGTCGTTACCGGAACCTATCAGCGTGCTCATCTCTATTGGGCTGACCTCTGGAGTGTCGGCCATCATGGATTTGGCCAGACTGGGTTGGAAGTAACCGTTGGAGTCCTGAACACAGACATGCTTCTTCTTCTGTTGGACATAGCGTTTGTAGACGCAGACGAAGACACCGACCAGGAAGAAAACCCCCGTCAAGCTGGCACAGATCTCCACGATCTCGATGTAGCCCAGCCCGGCGGACACCTGTATTGATGAGGAGATGGGACACCTTTTGGTAAGCTTTACTCAGGGCCAGCTAAGGCCCCCCCCTCCCCCCCAACCAAGTGGTCAAAAAACATTTGTGGACTCACTCTTGACGGCGGAGTAAAAAAAAAAAATCGTAATGTTTATTTCCTGCAATTTCATTTTTTTTGCCATGTGGCGTAGACAAAATTTTGCAATTTTAAAGCAAGTTTTCTGCAGTTCTACCCATTTTGCCATGGGGTGGAGAGACATTTTAGCAGTTTTAAAGAAAATGTCAGTCCATTCTACACATTCTGCCATGTTAATGATATCTGAGTGACTAACACAATCAATGGGGGCGCCCTGGAGGTCAAGGCCCCTGGGCACGTGCCCTGTGTGGCCGGTCGGTATTCGGAGATGACTACAAGTAACTGGCTAGACTAACTTACTAATCTAAAAATTGTTAGCTGACATGGCTCGTTGAGTGACTGTCAGTGACTGACATAACAATAGAAAAACTGCTGATGCACAACCAAATGTGAAACTTGCACCTTGTGTGTTCTACTATTCTACTCTCAACAAGAAGTTTGAGACCCTGGGGCCCTGGGGCCCTAAGTGTCCGCTTCTGTCGTTTATGCCTGGAGCCGGCCCTGGCTTTACCAAAACACCATTAGCTAAACTGACACAAGATCAGCGTCTAGGGCTCAGGAGGGCCGAGTGTCTGCGGGTTAACTCATTCCACGGAGGGCCGAGTGTCTGCGGGTTAACTCATTCCACGGAGGGCCGAGTGTCTGCGGGTTAACTCATTCCACGGAGGGCCGAGTGTCTGCGGGTTAACTCATTCCACGGAGGGCCGAGTGTCTGCGGGTTAACTCATTCCACGGAGGGCCGAGTGTCTGCGGGTTAACTCATTCCACGGAGGGCCGAGTGTCTGCGGGTTAACTCATTCCACGGAGGGCCGAGTGTCTGCGGGTTAACTCATTCCACGGAGGGCCGAGTGTCTGCGGGTTAACTCATTCCACGAGGGCCGAGTGTCTGCGGGTTAACTCATTCCACGGAGGGCCGAGTGTCTGCGGGTTAACTCATTCCACGGAGGGCCGAGTGTCTGCGGGTTAACTCATTCCACGGAGGGCCGAGTGTCTGCGGGTTAACTCATTCCACGGAGGGCCGAGTGTCTGCGGGTTAACTCATTCCACGGAGGGCCGAGTGTCTGCGGGTTAACTCATTCCACGGAGGGCCGAGTGTCTGCGGGTTAACTCATTCCACGGAGGGCCGAGTGTCTGCGGGTTAACTCATTCCACGGAGGGCCGAGTGTCTGCGGGTTAACTCATTCCACGGAGGGCCGAGTGTCTGCCACGGGTTAACTCATTCCACGGAGGGCCGAGTTTGCTGCGGGTTACTCAGTCCAACGGAGGGCCGAGTGTCTGCGGGTTGAACTCATTCCCATCCGGAGGGCCGAGTGGTCGGGCGGGTTGAACTCATTCCACGGAGGGGCGAGGTGTCTGCGGGTTAAACTCATTCCAACGGAGGGGGCCGAGTGTCTGCGGGTTAACTCATTCCACGGAGGGCCGAGTGTCTGCGGGTTAACTCATTCCACGGAGGGCCGAGTGTCTGCGGGTTAACTCATTCCACGGAGGGCCGAGTGTCTGCGGGTTAACTCATTCCACGGAGGGCCGAGTGTCTGCGGGTTAACTCATTCCACGGAGGGCCAGTGTCTGCGGGTTAACTCATTCCACGGAGGGCCGAGTGTCTGCGGGTTAACTCATTCCACGGAGGGCCGAGTGTCTGCGGGTTAACTCATTCCACGGAGGGCCGAGTGTCCTGCGGGTTAACTCATTCCACGGAGGGCCGATGTCTGCGGGTTAACTCATTCCACGGAGGGCCGAGTGTCTGCGGGTTAACTCATTCCACGGAGGGCCGAGTGTCTGCGGGTTAACTCATTCCACGGAGGGCCGAGTGTCTGCGGGTTAACTCATTCCACGGAGGGCCGAGTGTCTGCGGGTTAACTCATTCCACGGAGGGCCGAGTGTCTGCGGGTTAACTCATTCCACGGAGGGCCGAGTGTCTGCGGGTTAACTCATTCCACGGAGGGGCCGAGTGTCTGCGGGTTAACTCATTCCACGGAGGGCCGAGTGTCTGCGGGTTAACTCATTCCACGGAGGGCCGAGTGTCTGCGGGTTAACTCATTCCACGGAGGGCCGAGTGTCTGCGGGTTAACTCATTCCACGGAGGGCCGAGTGTCTGCGGGTTAACTCATTCCACGGAGGGCCGAGTGTCTGCGGGTTAACTCATTCCACGGAGGGCCGAGTGTCTGCGGGTTAACTCATTCCACGGAGGCCGAGTGTCTGCGGGTTAACTCATTCCACGGAGGGCCGAGTGTCTGCGGGTTAACTCATTCCACGGAGGGCCGAGTGTCTGCGGGTTAACTCATTCCACGGAGGGCCGAGTGTCTGCGGGTTTTCCCTCCTCCCTTGTACTTGGTTGATGAATTAAGGTCACTGATTAGTAAAGGAATCCCCTCACCTGGTACAGATGACACTAGGCCCTCCATGGAATGAGTTTGACACCCCTGGTCTAGGGCAACTTCACCCTACACCTACTAAAACCAGATACACAGAGCATTATGGGTACTGTAGTTTAGCATGGCACAATACCTGGGGCAGAGGGTCGCAGTGGGTGGAGCCCCCAGAAAAGGTACAGTTATACCCTCCTAGACACGGGTTGGGAGAGCATCTGTCGATTAGGCTCTGACACCTAAAGAAGAAGAATACTTTATTGTCCATTATCTTGCAAAGAACGGAAATTAGGCTTTTCCCTTGAAGCTCCTTTTCCAAGGAAAGAGGACAAACAGCAGAATTAGGCTTAATCAGTCCCTGAACCAATGAGACTAGGAGCACGCCATTGGTAACATTCCATGACTAACCAAAAAGAATCAGAACAACTGTACTATATGGTAGGTGGGGAGGACTTAAAGAATCAGAACAACTGTACTATATGGTAGGTGGGGAGGACTTAAAGAATCAGAACAACTGTACTATATGGTAGGTGGGGAGGACTTAAAGAATCAGAACAACTGTACTATATGGTAGGTGGGGAGGACTTAAAGAATCAGAACAACTGTACTATATGGTAGGTGGGGAGGACTTAAAGAATCAGAACAACTGTACTATATGGTAGGTGGGGAGGACTTAAAGAATCAGAACAACTGTACTATATGGTAGGTGGGGAGGACTTAAAGAATCAGAACAACTGTACTATATGGTAGGTGGGGAGGTCTTAAAGCTGAGAGAAACGTCAACACTAGAAGGTGGTATAATAATGTGTGGGTCTTTTTGTCCTCAACATGCAAACACTAATTATCTTGTAAATTAAGTTGATTTCTTGACGTCGTCATCGGAGAAGTGTGTGGGGGGAAAGCTAACAGTGTGTTAATACCGAGGCTTCAGGGATGGGAGGGATTGCTGTGTGAGAGATACATACAGTTGAAGTCGGAAGTTTACGTACACTTAGGTTGGAGTCATTAAAACTCGTTTTTCAACCACTGCACAAATTTCTTGTTAACAAACTATAGTTTTGGCAAGTCGGTTAGGACATCTACTTTGTCCATGACACAAGTAATTTTTCCAACAATTGTTTACAGACAGATTATTTCACTTATAATTCACTGTATCACAATTCCAGTGGGTCAGAAGTTTACATACACTAAGTTGACTGTCCCTTTAAACAGCTTGGAAAATTCCAGAAAATGATGTGGCTTTAGAAGCTTCTGATAGGCTAATTGACATCATTTGAGTCAATTGGAGGTGTACCCAGACCCGTCGCCAGACCTCAGACTTAAGGGGGGCATATGAAATGCATGGGAGGGCAGGGCACAGTTATTATTAGCCTACAGTACGTATATTTAATAATAAATTCCCTCAAGTGGGGGGGGGCACAAGCATTTTTGGGGGCGGGCCCGGCCCCCTATGGCCCGCCCATAGCGACGGGTGTGGGTGTACCTGTGGATGTATTTCAAGGCCTACCTTCAAACTCAGTGCCTCTTTGCTTGACATCATGGGAAAATCAAAAGAAATCAGCCAAGACCTCAGAAAAAAAATTGTAGACCTCCACAAGTCTGGTTCATCCTTGGGAGCAATTTCCAAATGCCTGAAGGTACCACGTTCATCTGTACAAACAATAGTACGCAATTATAAACACCATGGTACCACGCAGCCGTCATACCGCTCAGGAAGGAGACGCGTTCTGTCTCCTAGAGATGAACGTACTTTGGTGCAAAAAGTGCAAATAAATCCCAGAACAACAGCAAAGGACCTTGTGAAGATGCTGAAGGAAACAGGTACAAAAGTATCTATATCCACACTAAAACGAGTCCTATATCGACATAACCTGAAAGGCCGCTCAGCAAGGAAGAAGCCACTGCTCCAAAACCGCCATAAAAAAGCCAGACTACGGTTTGCAACTGCACATGGAGACAAAGATCGTACTTTTTGGAGAAATGTCCTCTGGTCTGATGAAACAAAAATATAACTGTTTGGCCATAATGACCATCGTTATGTTTGGAGGAAAAAGGGGGGTCTTGCAAGCCGAAGAACACCATCCTAACCGTGAAGCACGGTGGTGGCAGCATTATGCTGTGGGGGTGCATTGCTGCAGGAGGGACTGGTGCACTTCACAAAATAGATGGCATCATGAGGAAGGACAATTATGTGGATATATTGAAGCAACATCTCAAGACATCAGTCAGGAAGTTAAAGCTTGGTCGCATATGGGTCTTCCAAATGGACAATGACCCCAAGCATACTTCCAAAGTTGTGGCAAAATGGCTTAAGGACAACAAAGTCAAGGTATTGGAGTGGCCATCACAAAGCCCTGACCTCAATCCTATGGAAAATGTGTGGTCAGAACTGAAAAACCGTGTGCTAGCAAGGAGGCCTACAAACCTGACTCAGTTACACCAGCTCTGTCAGGAGGAATGGGCCAAAATACACCCAACTTATTGTGGGAAGTTTGTGGAAGGCTACCCGAAACGTTTGACCCAAGTTAAACAATTTAAAGGCAATGCTACCAAATACTAATTGAGTGTATGTAAACCTCTGACCCACTGGGAATGTGATGAAAGAAATAAAAGCTTATATAAATAATTATTTCTACTACATTTCACATTCTTAAAATAAAGTGGTGATCCTAACAGACCTAAGACAGGGAATATTTACTAGGATTAAATGTTTTTGGCTAAGGTGTATGTAAACTTCCGACTTCAACTGTACCTGCTTCCAGCCATATGCAGTTGGCAGTTGCAGATGTAACCTTGACTCTTTGGCACGCACACCCCACCGTGGGCGCAGGGCTGGGAGGCACAGGGGTTGTTGTCCAGCTCACAGCGAGGGCCATTGAAGGGTTCTGGACAGCTGCAGCGGAACCCTGGAGGGTAAATCAACATATAAACAGGAAGAGAGATCAGCCTACTGAAGATGGTCAAAGTTCTAGAACACCATGAAAGTTCTCTTACTCTCTCATTAACAACAGAGGGATTCTAATGAAGGATAGGATACAAACTATTTCAAAAAGTGGAATATAGGGTAGAGATTTTTGTAAAGAAAGTTTGGTTACATCCAGTTGTTGTGAGGCCTGGTTATTCAGTTTGCACCTAAGTACTCTATTTGAACTTCCCGGTAGAACAATTATGATAATATTTTATAGACTAGACTAGATCACTCCTCCAATCTGTTCAGACACTGTAGTTTGTTCAACATTGTATTCTCATATTGGTGATTGAATGTCCACCCTCGCAGAGGGAAAAATCAGTTGTTGTTGAAGGGATGCTAGACAATGTACCATAAGTATAGTTACATCTCAGAACAAATATCAATAAACAACACTGACGTTTTCTCTAAACCTGTAGGCTTTGTTGCTACCTTGAATGTTGTGGGTAGAGGCTTACAGAATGCTTAGTGTGTTGTGGGTAGAGGCTTACAGAATGCTTAGTGTGTTGTGGGTAGAGGCTTACAGTATGCTATTTGTGTTGTGGGTAGAGGCTTACAGTATGCTATTTGAGTTACAGTATGCTTTTGGTTAGTGGGAAGCTATTTTGGTTAAACAGTATCTATTTGTGTTGTGGTAAGCAGTATGCATTTGTGGTTGTGGGTAAGAGGCTTACAGTATTGCTATTTGTGTTGTGGGTAAAAGGCCTTACAGTATGCTTTTGTGTTGTGGGAAACATATGCTATTTGTGTTGTGGGGTAAGAGAGAGGCTTACAGTATGCTATTGTGTTTGGGATCAGTATGCTATTTGTGTTGTGGGTAGAGGCTTACCAGTAATGCTATTTTGTGTTGTGTGGGTAAAGTAACTATTTGTGTTGTGGTAGAGGCTTACTGCTATTTGTTGTGGTAGAGGCACAGTATGCATTTGCATAATGTTAGGGCTTACATATGTATTGTGTTGTGGTAAGTCTTACAGTAGTTTGTTTGTGGTAGGGCTACAGTATGCTATTGTGTGTGGGTAGAGGCTACAGTATTATTTGTAGGAACTTTGAACACTATTGGGGGAGTGATACAAGTATCCCAAGGTTAAGAAAACTTGACCTCAATTTGATCCCTCCTCACAGCGTTCCTCATTCAGACAAGGGTGTACTGGCACAGCTGTTCATCATGACCTGGTTGACGCAGCACTGGTAAGACCCCAAACACCCTTACCTCCCCCAGGCCCATTCCACTCCTTTATCATTCCGCTGTCCTGATAGGCTCCCCATTCAGCTCCATACCGTCCAGGCATCCTGCCAAGCCTTGTGCCTGGGTCTGGGCCATGGCCTGGGTTTCTCTAGAGGTGGTGGTGGTGGGAGAAGAACCAGGGCCAGGGGGGCCAGCGAGGATCAGAGCCCCATGGGGCTGCATCAGATGGCAGGGTTCAGAGAGGACGACCTGGGTTGAGTGAACGTGGTCCAGGGTGAGTCTGAGGACGGTGCCGTTGACCTCCAGAAGGACGTGGTGCCACCGCCCGTCTGACACCACTGGGGCTGTGTGGACACGCAGGGAAGCCGGGAGCATGTTTCCACAGAGGTACATGAACCTCAACTCTCCACCCATCAGCTGTGGAAGACAATAGAAGAGAACACATCAGCACAAACGTGCAGAACACTGCTCCTCCTAACACTGTAGACACACCCACGACAGTACACCTGTATACTTTACATCAACCTCAACTGTACTTTACATCAACCTCAACTTTCCTTTACATGAACCTCAACATTCCTTTACATCAACCTCAACTTTCCTTTACATGAACCTCAACTTTCCTTTACATCAACCTCAACTTTACTTCACATGAACCTTTACATGGACCTCAACTTTACTTCACATGAACCTCAACTTTACTTCACATGAACCTTTACATGAACCTCAACTTTACTTCACATGAACCTCAACTTTACTTCACATGAACCTTTACATGAACCTCAACTTTACTTCACATGAACCTCAACTTTACTTCACATGAACCTTTACATGAACCTCAACTTTACTTTACATGAACCTTTACATGATGTAGTGCTGTCCTTGAGCTGTTATTGTCTATTAATGTTCTGTATTATGTCATGTTTTATGTTTAGTGTGGACCCCAGGAATAGTAGCTGCTGGGCTTCTACTGCAGCAGAATCTTCTGAGAGTTTTGTGGAGATGTTGAACTAGCACAGTGCTAGGTTGCTAGGCTGCTAGGCTGCTAGGTTGCTAGGTTGCTAGGTTGCTAGGTTGCTAGATTGCTAGGCTGCTAGGTTGCTAGGTTGCTAGGTTGCTAGGTTTCTAGGCTGCTAGGTTAATAGGCTGGGCAGCATTTAGCAGGCATATTTTAGTGCTTTACTTTCATAGCCGGGGGGGGGGGGTCCTCTACTCAATCAAGCGGATTGTACGGTAGTGTCAAACACCATCAAATGTCATGCCCCTCTCATGCTGCTCCTGTATAGAGTGACTCATCATGTAACCCTGTACCGACCAGGCCTATCCTGAGTCAAACAGTTATACTGTACATGTCTTAGAGAGTATTTGGGGAGTGCTTGATTTAGCTTAGAGTTAGCTTTGCTTTTGTGACTATTCCATTGGTTCAGTTGTAGGCCTACCGGGCAAACTAAATCAATCGCAGCCAAGTATTTGAAAGTCATTTGACACATGCATTTTACCCAAGTCTGATACCAACCCAAAGCCACACAGATGTAAATGGCATGAAAGTTAAACACTGCACCTAGAGGGAAAGATTAAAGATACTTATTTTCTTGCCATTAGTGAATAAATTGATTCAGCTGACGCTTCAGTATGGAGCTAACATGGGAATAAAAGGATCCACTTCCCTCTTTTTGGAGAGAGGAGCTACGATACTTCAAACAGCTCAGACTGCCTGACATACAGACCATACCAGGCGAACCTGACGTGAATCAACTCCAGTTAGGGAAAAATCAAATTACTGTGTTCAGCGTGTACACCGATTACGTCCAAAATGGAACCCTGTTCCCTATTTAGTGCACTACTTTTTACCGGAGACCTATGGGCCCTGGAGGTGGGCTAGCTCCCCGCAGGAGATGTTTATGATCTGAGGGTGTCCTCTACAGCCACTGTGACCAGTAGCATTAAAGACTATCTGCTTCTTTACCGTGTCTTTCTAGCACACTTCTCCTTGATAATAATATGGGGCTGTTTTGTTAGACTTCAGTGCGGCTTTTGACATTATCAATCATAGTCTGCTGCTGGAAAAATGTATGTGTTATGGCTTTACACCCCCTGCTATAATGTGGATAAAGAGTTACATTTTAGTCATTTAGCAGACGCTCTTATCCAGAGCGACTTACAGTTAAGTGAGTGCATACATTTTATTTTTTCATACTGGCCCCACATGGGAATCGAACCCACAACCCTGCTGTTGCAAACGACATGCTCTACCAACTGAGCTAACAGAACCCAGAGGGTGTTCTTTAATGGAAGCCTCTCAAACTGAATCTAGGTAGAATCAGGAATTCCCCAGGGCAGCTGTTTAGGCCCTTTACTTTTTTCCATCTTTACTAACAACATGCCACTGGCTTTGAGTAAAGCCAGAGTGTCTATGTATGCGGATGACTCAACACTATACACGTCAGCTGCTACAGCAACTGAAATAACTGCAACACTTAATAAAGAGTTGCAGTTAGTTTCGGAATGGGTGACAAGGAATAAGTTAGTCCTGAATATTTCCAAAACTAAAAGCATTGTATTTGGGTCAAATCATTCACCAAACCCTAAACCTCAACTACATCTCATAATGAATAATGTGGAAATTGAGCAAGTTGAGGTGACTAAACTGCTTGGAGTAACCCTGGATTGTAAACTGTCGTGGTCAAAGCATATTGATACAACAGTAGCTAAGATGGGGAGAAGTATGTCCATAATAAAGCGCTACTCTACCTTCTTAACAGCACTATCAACAAGGCAGGTCCTACAGGCCCTAGTTTTGTCGCACCTGGACTACTGTTCAGTAGTGTGGTCAGGTGCCACAAGGAGGGACTTGGGAAAGAGCCATGACTACATGGAACTCTATTCCACATCATGTAACTCAGTCAAGCAATAAAATCAGATTGAAAAAACAGATAAAACTACACATTCTGGTACAGCGCAGACTGTGAAGAGACACACACACACATACAGGCACACACACAGCATTCGCAAACACATACTAACACACGCACTCTACACACACACATTTTGATATTGTTATTTTGCTGTATTATTGATTTTGTATTGTAAATATGTTATGGTAGAGTAGTGTCTAATAAGGTGTTGTGTTAGGTATTGTTTTATTGTATGTAAGTTGTGGTTGGACCCCAGGAAGAGTAGCTGCTGCCTTGGCAGCCGCTAATGGGGATCCGTAATAAATACAAATACAAACACAAACAGATCTAAGCTGTCACTATTGTTAAAGTGGTTTTAACTGACAAGTCCTCCTTTTCTTCGTTCTCCACAGGCTTGTCACGGGTGGTTTTATTCAAATTGGTAAAATCATTTCCACTTCAAAGGTAATTTAGTTAAAAGATGTGGAATACATGAAAAAGATTTAGCCGGTGATTGGTACAGCAGGTCCTAAACTTAACTTCCATTTCAGACGTTTCTGAAGGATGGATGCTCCCTTTTTTCTTTTAGAATATTGATGAGATTTGGGAATTGATAAGAATTTGTTCAAGGTGCGGTGAAGCCTAACTCTCAAGGGAAACACATACATTGATAACCATGTTTAGCAATTCCTTTTGAAGCAATTTTCTTACAATAAAAGGGACCCATGTGCCAGGAATATAAAACCCAGAGGTAGACCAAATAATGGAAAAAGTGAATGCTACTTTTGATATTTAAAGCGTGAACAAATGGAATATTCTATCTATTACGTGAATTCAATGTCACACAAATGAAGAAAAATCCATTGGGAGATGTGTTGCATGCGTGTATTTCAAGTGCAGGCCAAGGAGTTTCATCTGAGCACTGAGGATTCTTCATTCCTCTCATCAAAATGCACAATCATTTAATATTCCCTTTAAACTTTATGTGGTAAAACTACATCAGCCCCAAGCTGACTCTAGCTCAACATTCCAAACCCCAGCAACAATTAGCCTACGTACCAGATCTGTTTTTGTGATGTCTTGCCAACTCTTAAACTTAAGTCTTGAACTAAATTTCAATTCCAGAGAAGTGTATGAAGGATGTGCTGGTCCTTTAAAAAAAAAAAAAATTAAACTCAGAGTATTGAGCTTGTCAAAGCAGCACACAGATCTGGGACCAGGCTATGAAAGAACTGATGGGAACGGGGACATGGAGATGGAGACAGCCCTCACCACAACACGGTTGGATCAGTTAAAAAGTTCCCATTGATCAACTGACACAGACAAAGCCAGCCGAGTGACTGATGTGATAAGAGACCAGTGTGATTGAGCCTGGAATCCACACCGGAATGTTCTCTTCCGGATAAACACAGCCATCTGATATGCAATCAGGCATTTAGATTAGGGCATATATTCTATAAACACAATGTCTGCAACAGTACTGGGGGAAAGCCAAGGAAAATGAATATGTTGCTTTTATGATCTCTGATTATAATGTAGTGCAATACAATTTACAATTGTATGCATGATACTGTAGAGCACTGATGTAAAATGGGCTGTAAATCACATTGAACTGATTGAATGAGCTATGAGAGACTGCAAAAGTAAATAACAATGTGTGTTTCTTGATCTCTGATAATAATGAACGCTTTACAATACCTTCAAGGTCCCCCAGTTGGTTGCATTGGTATTCATGACAATGCCTTGTTGCTGGACGGTCTTGATGTGAAGAGAGAGACGGAAGTTCTGATTCTCCTCCTCCTCCGTCGGGTACAGGTATTTCAGATAGCCGTTCCCGTCAAAACTCACGGCAGACTCTGAAGTTGGAAAAACAGTGCAAATGTTTAAATGTGATTTGTGTGATTTCGTCAAGAACACGTCTAGTTAACATGTAGGCCTAATATTTAAAACACTCATTGTGGATGACTATCTGGCCTATCTGAGGAATAGTCACTCAAATTTGTTCTCATAATCAAAATCTGCTTGATCAAACAGACTTTCATGTAGGAATCTTTCAAAGTTCATACAAATAATGTAATAAAATAAAATAATTCCTTCATGTATTTTGTTTCAGCCTCAGATCTTCCATGGCGCTTTCCTAGAGATACTATATTTGGTTTGTTGAGGCTTTGGGTTTAGCCAAAACAGTGTAAAGAAAGAGGTGATAACCTCAATGGAATACCTCCACTAAATATGTCTGCCAGGCAGACAACAGAAGACCCACAACAAGCAGATAATCACTAGTACTATCCTGGAGGCCCCAAGCTGCCTTCTGCACCCAGCTAATCCCCATAGGAATGTGAAGTGAGTTAGATCATGAAGGGGGTGACTTCAGGCGCCTACTATGATCATAGAGAGGTCGGAGCCTATTTGACAGATAGGGTTCAAACCCAGGTCTACTGTGTGCTCAAAGTACGCGTTAGCCCACTATACCAAAGCCTAGGCATTGACTTGGCGAGCTAATGCAATTCTTCACATCTCGGGCACGTCTCACACAAGCTTGATAAGTAACCTTGACGAGCCACCAAACCACCTCCGTTACACCTACCGTTGCAGGAGCAGACACTCTCCCAGGTGTGTTGTGGGGTGATGAAGCCGGCCCTGGCTGTGGCGTAGTGGCTCAGCCTCTCCCCTCTCATCTGGACTGAGTTCCTGCATCCTCTAGGAGGGCATTCTGTCCCTAGACACCCATTATGATGCACCCTGAGAACACTCAGTCCCAACGAGTCTTCTATGTCAGCGATGATCCCTGCCAGCCGGTTGGTTGGAAACGGTTCTACATTTCCACCATGTGGCCTCCATAGCAGCAGAACATCCAGGACCAGGGAGTTGGGTTGCTGCTGTAGGCTCACCAGATGGAGGTCTTGCCTGGCTATACCCAGGGCTGTGCTGAGACTCCTCTGGAGGCCTCTCCAGTGGTGCCCCAGGAACTCCTCCGGGGAAAACCCATCCAGCTGCAGAGTGAGCCCTGCGTCCAGGGCCTGCTGGGTGGGTTTCCACACATGGACCTTCACCCCGGCCCACACGCTGAACTTCCCATCGGAGACGCTGACATTGAGGGAGTAGAGGCCAGGTTTCAGGTCTTCGTCGGCCCAGATCTTCCCATCCACCAGGTCCACAGAGAACCTGGAGAGGCCTCCAGAGGGGCCTGAGCTCGGCCCTGGGTCTCCCCCACCGGGAGACTCCGAGACCAGCTTGTAGTGTAGGATGTCGTGCAGGTCCTGGTCGGAGGCATGGAGCTTGCCTATGACTCGGTTGGAGAAGCTGTCTCCTGTGGTGCTGATGAAGACTTCCAGGGGCATCACCGAAGGAGGGTACTTGCTCTGCTCAGTGACGTTGATCTTCACCACACAGATGGAGGAGAGAGGAGGGTGACCGCTGTCTGTCACCTAAGGTAAGGACATGAATAGAAGCATACATTATCTAATGTCAGTATCTGCTAATGTCAGTATCTGCTAATGTCAGTATCTGCTAGTACTGTGTATGTAGAAAGTTTGAGTCCATTTTGACATCCCAAATAACCAGTAGGCATGTACAGTTGAAGTCGGAGGTTTACATACACCTTAGCCAAATACATTTAAACTCAGTTTTTCACAATTCCTGACATTTAATCCTAGTAAGAATTCCCTGTTTTAGGTCAGTTTGGATCACCACTTTATTTTAAGAATGTGAAATGAGAGAATAATAGTAGAGAGAATGATTTATTTCAGCTTTTATTTCTTTCATCACATTCCCAGTGGGTCAGAAGATTACATACACTCAATTAGTATTTGGTAGCATTGCCTTTAAATTGTTTAACTTGGGTCAAACGTTTCTGGGTAGCCTTCCACAAGCTTCCCACAGTAAGTTGGGTGAATTTTGGCCCATTCCTCCTGACAGAGCTGGTGTAACTGACGTCAGGTTTGTAGGCCTCCTTGCTCGCACATGCTTTTTCAGTTCTGCCAACACATTTTCTATAGGATTGAGGTCAGGGCTTTGTGATGGCCACACCAATACCTTGAATTCGTTGTCCTTAAGCCATTTTGCCACAACTTTGGAAGTATGCTTGGGGTCATTGTCCATTTGGAAGATACATTTGCGACCAAGCTTTAACTTCCTGATTGATGTCTTGAGATGTTCCTTCAATATATCCACATAATTTTCCTTCCTCATGATGCCATCCATTTTGTGAACACCAGTCCCTCCTGCAGCAAAGCACCCCCAAAGCATGATGCTGCCACCACCGTTCTTCACGGTTTGGAATGGTGTTCTTCGGCTTGCAAGACCCCCCTTTTTCCTCCAAACACAACGATGGTCATTATGGCAAACAGTTATATTTTTGTTTCATCAGACCAGAGGACATTTCTCCAAAAAGTACGATCTTTGTCCCCATGTGCAGTTGCAAACCGTAGTCTGGCTTTTTTATGGTGGTTTTGGAGCAGTGGCTTCTTCCTTGCTGAGCGGCCTTTCAGGTTATGTCGATGTAGGACTTGTTTTACTGTTGTACCTGTTTCCTCCAGCATCTTCACACCAAAGTATGTTCATCTCTAGGAGAGAGAACGCGTCTCCTTCCTGAGCGGTATGACGGCTGCGTGGTCCCATGGTGTTTATACTTGTGTACTATTGTTTGTACAGATGAACGTGGTACCTTCAGGCGTTTGGAAATTGCTCCCAAGGATGAACCAGACTTTTGGGGGTCTACAATTTTGTTTCTGAGGTCTTGGCTGATTTCTTTTGATTTTCCCATGATGTCAAGCAAAAAGGCACTGCGTTTGAAGGTAGGCCTTGAAATACATCCACAGGTACACCTCCAATTGACTCAAATTATGTCAATTAGCCTATCAGAAGTTTCTAAAGCCATGACCTCATTTTCTGGAATTTTCCAAGCTGTTTAAAAGGCACAGTCAATTAAGTGTATGTAAACTTCTGACCCATTGGAATTGTGATACAGTGAATTATAAGTGAAATAATCTGTCTGTAAACAATTGTTGGAAAAATTACTTGTGTCATGCACAAAGTAGATGTCCTAACCGACTTGCCAAAACTACAGTTTGTTAACAAGAAATGTGTGGAGTGGTTGAAAAACGAGTTTTAATGACTCCAACCTATGTGGAAGTAAACTTCCGACTTCAGCTGTAGATACATCAGATAAACCGATTACAACCAGGTAAATATGTTTTGCCAGCAGGGATCCGTTTTGTTACAGGATTATTCGTTACCTGTATTTTCAGTAGGTGCTGTGGCTTGATCTTCTTCTTCAGAGGGGCAGAGATGGACAACAGGCCTCCCTGGTCCACGTGGAAGCGGCGGTCCTCGTTCCCAGACACGATGTGGAAAGTGAAGGGAGGTCCATTCTGAGGGGTGTCTCTGTCTGTGACCACCAGCTGGAGGATGCTGCTACCAATGGCCTCGCCCTCCTGACAAGGAACATACGGTACCATCATTAGTTATGTAGTCATGCTATCATACAAACTAGGTCAAGCCTTCCATGACACCTCGTTCCACAAGGGGCTAAAACAAGACAGCCCCTAGTGATTTTACTACATTGCAAAAACATTCTGATCTTATCTCGAAGAGTGAAACATTTAAAAGGTTTCCAGTGAATGCTGGACGTTTCCACCTGCCCTGAATGCTACAGGGCGAATGCCTGAAGTTTCCACCTGCCCTGAATGCTACAGTGCTTGGCTGAGTGCTGGAAAGAAGATGATCTCAAACCATAGTGTGTATGTGCAATGTGCTACAATTTGGCAGAGCAAGCACACACACCTAACCTTCTCCTCAGATCGTTCCATTTCAGTTGAGACTGCTGGAACAGGTCACTGAAACACAGTGCCGTGTTGGCAGAGATAAGGCTAATAGAAAATAGAGAGAGTGAACAAATGTGAAGGAGGAGGATGAAGGCCAGTGATGAAGATGCCTCTAGTGACATGCTGACGCCAGCCTGGCGTGTTGATTCAATATGGCATTGTCCGGATGGACGGCCGTGTATTTGCATCTCACACCTTTGCCGTTGCAAAACTCTGGGATGAGACGTTCCCACGGAAGTCCTGGGGAAACTGACGCTAGTAAATAAATGTTACTGTGTGAATTAAATTGTCATGTTTGGATTGTTTCAAGAGTTCATAAAGAGCTATGAATTTTTATACATGTTATTGTGCTGTAAGTAAGTTGTGTGGATTTATTTGTTACAGAGAACCTGTGTTATTCTGTTCATCGGACGGCGGATAGTTCAAAGAGGAGCGACACAGATGTGGACTCCTATTATTTAAATTGGGTTGATTAGATTAGAATCTGGATGTGTTGTTCCTGTCTATTGTTTTTACTAGGAAAGTGCTACGAAATGTAAATTCAGGTTGGGGGTGAGTTCCTGCTTAAATTTGGTTAAAAGGACAGTGATTTTTGCTCATATTTTGAGAACTTGTTAGCAAGCTCCTGTGTGTATCAGACATGTGTAACCATGTTAAGTCTTATTTAGTTGGTAGTCATTTACTCAGTGTATTCTGTAATGTATCATGTGTTTCATGTACACTGTCATTGTTTGAGTGTTAATTCTTACATAGCTAATAAAGCCTATTAGCTGAATTGAGTAAATGCATTCCTCGTTTTACAGAGTAATACGCTCATACAGTGCCTTGCAAAAGTGTTCATCCCCCTTGGTGTTTTTCCTATTTTGTTGCATTACAACCTGTAATTTAAATACATTTTTATTTGGATTCCATGTAATGGACATACACAAAATAGTCCAAATTGGTGAAGTGAAATGAAAAAAAGTACTTGTTTCAAAGAATTCAAAAAAATAAATAACGGAAAAGTGGTGCATGCATATGTATTCACCCCCTTTGCTATGAAGCCCCTAAATAAGATATGGTGCAACCAATTACCTTCAGAAGTCACATAATTAGTTAAATAAAGTCCACCTGTGTGCAATCTAAGTGTTACATGATCTGTCACATGATCTCAGTATATATACACCTGTTCTGAAAGGCCCCAGAGTCTGCAACACCACTAAGCAAGGGGCACCACCAAGCAAGCGGCACCATGAAGACCAAGGAGCTCTCCAAACAGGTCAGGGACAAAGTTGTGGAGAAGTACAGATCAGGGTTGGGTTATAAAAAAATATCTGAAACTTTGAACATCCCACGGAGCACCATTAAATCCATTATTAAAAAATTTTAAGAATATGGCACCACAACAAACCTGCCAAGAGAGGGCCGCCCACCAAAACTCACGGACCAGGCAAGGAGGGCATTAATCGGAGAGGCAACAAAGAGACCAAAGATAACCCTGAAGGAGCTGCAAAGCTCCACAGGGGAGATTGGAGTATCTGTCCATAGGACCACTTTAAGCTGTACACTCCACAGAGCTGGGCTTTACGGAAGAGTGGCCAGAAAAAAGCCATTGCTTAAAGAAAAAAATAAACAAACACGTTTGGTGTTCGCCAAAAGGCATGTGGGAGACTCCCCAAACATATCAAAGAAGGTACTCTGGTCAGATGAGACTAAAATTGAAGTTTTTGGCCATCAAGGAAAATGCTATGTCTGGCGCAAACCCAACACCTCTCATCACCCCGAGAACACCATCGCCACAGTGAAGCATGGTGGTGGCAGCATCATGCTGTGGGGATGTTTTTCATCGGCAGGGACTGGGAAACTGGTCAGAATTGAATGAATGATGGATGGCACTAAATAGTGTAGTGATGCATGCTCAAGTTTCATTTATATTGTCTATATTTATCTTGTTTGTTTCACCCAAAAAAAATATTTTGCATCTTCAAAGTGGTAGGCATGTTGTGTAAATCAAATGATACAAACCCCCAAAAAATCCATTTTAATTCCAGGTTGTAAGGCAACTGTCATGAATACAGCCGAGGCTGCCCCTCCTCCTTGCTCGGGCAGGCTTCAGCGTTTGTCGTCACCGGAGTACTAGCTGCCACCGATCGATGTTTCTGTGTTACACTAGTCTTGTCTTTATTATTCACACCTGTTAACCATTATGCTTATTTTTTTCCCTATAATTACCTCTGTTTTCCCTCCTGGGTTTGTGCGTGATTGTCCGTTGTTTTACGTCGTTTGGGGAGCTGTTGTGCTGCTCTTCCCTGCGTGGAGGGTTTGTTATGGTTTACTTTTGTTTTAGTAAATCCATTCATTTCTAAGTTCTGTGTCCTGCGCCTGATTCCGTTTCACCACTTCACCCAGACATTGACAGCAACAAAATAGGAAAAATGCCAAGGGGGGTGAATAGTTTGGCAAGCCACTGTATCCCATTATACCCTGCAACTATATTGTATCTGTTAACTACCTCATTTCCTACTTATTTTTGTCTAGTAAATAAAACCTTGAATTAATTATTTGCGACATTGAGTTCATTGGGTTATTAGGGTTACAGAGCTTGATGAAGTTTTAGAGTGAGAACATAGTAAATTGACTGTTGATTAAGACTATTGTTGATATAGGATTAATGGTATACCGGTTAATGATAACTACTGATAGAGTTCATTCAAGGGTCTCTCTATATATCAAACCCTTAATGGTGCCCCTCTTAGATTAATTTGGATAGGATAACCACATAAATTAAATCAATTAAATCAATTAATTATTCCAGTAATTAATCAATAAATGATCTTGAATATGAATTAGCCAAAAGTCACAGCACAAGCCTGATTGGTTCTTCAGCTCTCGACCATTCCACTCCTGCCTTCCTGGTGTGTAGATGCAGCCAAGGATAACCAGCTGTTAGGATGCTGATCGTGTAGAGGGAGATAGAGGGAAACGGTGTGTGTGTGTGTAAGGTGAAGTGGCCTGTGTTGGTACCTGAAGGACCAGGTTGTGTTTGATCTGGGAGAAGATAGGTGGGTTGTCGTTGACATCGGACACGGTCAAGGTCACTTGGACCGCGGTAGACAGAGGAGGGTCTCCCTCATCAGCTGCTTGGACCGTAAGAGAGTAGTGAGTGATCTGGGAGAGGGAGAGAGACCAGTTAGATACAGGATATTAGTGTGAGTGATCTGGGAGAGGGAGAGAGACCAGTTAGATACAGGATATTAGTGTGAGTGATCTGGGAGAGGGACCAGTTAGATACAGGATATTAGTGTGAGTGATCTGGGAGAGGGAGAGAGACCAGTTAGATACAGGATATTAGTGTGAGTGATCTGGGAGAGGGAGAGAGACCAGTTAGATACAGGATATTAGTGTGAGTGATCTGGGAGAGGGAGAGGGACCAGTTAGATACAGGATATTAGTGTGAGTGATCTGGGAGAGGGAGAGGGACAAGTTAGATACAGGACATTAGTGTTCTACTACTTTCTAGACTTCTTTCTCTTGGCTCCTTTTAAAGCAAAGGGCTTCAACAGTGCATCTCCAGCGAACCCTGTTCTGAGCAGTTTTTTCAACTATTCCAGGTGATTCCTTTCCCATATAAAAGCCCAAACTAAACCCCCCTCACCTCCTCTCTGTCCAGTGTAGCACTGACTATGATCTCTCCACTGCGAGGGTCGATGCTGAACTGACCCTGAGGGTCTCCACTGGATATGGAATAGTGGATAAGGTTGTTCAATGCCCATCCAGGTCGTTGGCTTCACCTTGGAGTGAGAACAGAGGGGAAGAGGGCAAAGGGGCAGAAGAGAATAGGGGGAGAGAAGAGAAGAGGGGGGAGGAAGAGAGAAGAGAGGAGAGAAGAGAGGGGGGAAGAGAAGAGAGGAGGAGAAGAAAAGGGGGAGAGAAGAGGAGAGCAGGGGGGAGAGAAGGAGAGGAAAGAGAAGGAGGGGGAGAGAAGAGAGGAGAGAGAAGAAGGGGAGGAGAAGAAGGGGGGGAGAGAGAAGAGAGAGAGAGGAAGAGGGGGGCGAGAAGAGGGGGGAGAGGGAGGGGAAGAGAAGAGGGGGGGAGAGAAAAAGGGGGGGAGAGGGAGGAGGGGGAAGAGAAGAGAGGAGAGAGAAGAGGGGAAGAGAAGAGGGGAGAGAAAAGAGGGGGAAAGAAGAGGGGAAAAGAAGAGTGGGAAGAGAAGAGGGGGAGAGAAGAGGAGAGGGGATAGGGGGGGAGAGAGAGAAGGGGGAAGAGAAGAGTGGGAAGGAAGAGAGGGGAGAGAGGGGGAAGAGAGGGGAGAGAGAAAGAGAGGGGAGAGAGAGAGAGAAGAGGGGGAGAGGAGAGAGAAGGAGAGAGAAGAGGGGGAAGAGAAGAGAGGGGACAGAAAAAAAGGAGAGAGAAGAGAGAGGGGAGAGAAGAAAAGGGGGGAGAGAAGAGGGGGAAGAAAGAGAGGGAAAGAGAAGAGAGGGGAGAGAAAGGGGGAGAGGAGAAGAGGGGGAGAGGAGAAGGGGAGAAGAGAGGGAGAGAAGAGAGGGGAGAGGAAGAGAGGGGGGGAGAGGAGGGGAGAAGGAGGGGGGAGAGAAGAGAGAGGAGGGGAGAGAGAAGAGGGGGAAGAGAAGAGTGGGAAGAGAAGAGAGGGGAGAGAAGAGAGGGGAGAGAAGAGAGGGGAGAGGAGAGGAAGAAGAGAGGGGTGAGAAGAGAGAAAGAGAGGGGAGAGAAGGGGGGAAGAGAAGAGAGGGGGACAGAAGAGAGGAGAGAGGAGAAGAGAAGAGAGGGGAGAAAAGGGAGGGGAGAGAGAAGAGGGGGAAGAGAAGAGAGGAGAGAGAAGAGATGGGAGGGGAAAAAGAGGGGGAGGGGGAGAGAAGAAAAAGAGGGGGAGAAAAGAGAGGGGGAGGAAAAGAGGGGGAGGGGAGAAGGGGAGAGGAGAGGGGAAGAGAAGAGGGGGAGAGAAGAGGGGGAGAGGGGGGGAGAGGAGAGAGAAGAGAGGGGGAGAAGAGAGGAGAGAGGAGAGAGAAGAGGGGGAAGAGAAGAGTGGGAAGAGAAGAGAGGAGAGAGAAGAGGGGGATGAGGAGAAGGGGAGAGGAGAGGGGGAGAGAAGAGAGGAAGAGAAGGAGGGGAGAGAAGAGGGGGAGAGGGGGGAGAGGAGAGAGAAGAGAGGGGGAGAAGAGAGGAGAGAGGGGGAGAGGAGAGAGAAGAGAGTGAGAGAAGAGGGGAGAGAGAAGAGAGGGGAGAGAGGAGTGGGGAGAGAAGAGTGAACAGTAAGCCTAATTGAACTGAGCTGCTTGAAAGAAATGACAGTAGTATTATTATTAGCTCAACCAAACTGCCATTTTCTCTAAGTACTTTGATGTGTTGCTGTCCAAAATGCCAAATTCAAATTCAAAACAACTTTCATAGTCCCCTCAGGGAAATTACTTGTCATTGAACACATTGAATTGTGTATTACAATCACTGGTTTCTAAAGTGACAGTTGACAGTTGAGAGTGATAGCTACCTGCATCACCACATCGCCAGGCCACAGGTCCTCTGAGATGTCAGCTCTGTAGTCTCTCTGTCCGAACACGGGCGTGTTGTCATTGACATCTGTGATGTTGATAATCACCATGGTGATGTCACTCAGAGTCGACTTGCCTCTCGTCCCCTCCACTGACAGGTAGTATTCACGACACAACTCAAAGTCCAAAGAGCCATTCAGTGCCAGAACACCTGAAAAAACACACAACACAAACCATATTCATTTATCTGACGGCCGTGTTAACGTGGTCTTGTGCACACTAACACAGCCCTGGGTTGACAGATGTGGGTTTTGAGTATATGTTCTGAGCCTTCAAAAAAATTTGAAAAATTACAGCAATTTCCAAAGATGACCACAGCAACAATGTATTCAATTAATCTTGTGGTGCTCTTTTATTAAAAACAAAACGCTGACATGTTTCCACCTTGTGGTTTTTTTGTCAGCTCTTATCTGATTGTGTGTGTGTTCTGTTTCCAAAAAAACATAAATCTAGTCATTGGCCTCGCAGTCAAACAGGTGTTGGGTGCTACCTGTAAATAGTACCAGGATGTAGAGACATGGACATGTCAAGGTAACTACAGTACCAGGATGTAGAGACATGGACATGTCTTGAGCAGATTGGAGTTTTCCTTTCTACTTTGTTCCAAGGACAGCTCTGCCTCAAGGTCAGAAATAATTCTTATTGGTTAAGTTTAGACAAGGGATGTCCATAGCAGGAAGGTGTATGCCATAATATTGGGTATGGATCGTGATTTTAGAAATATTCGACATTTGGCTTGTCTCACGTCATCTGAACATCCCTTGCTGTAGCTATGGTTACAAAAGCCACAAAGTGCAGCAGTACAGTGCATTGGATTTATGCACCACGGTCCATCTATTGCTGTTCTGTACCCTGGTGGGAACCTGTCACTGCTGTTGTACTCAGCCAATAGGCTGATGTGAAAATGACTAATATGAAACAGACTTGAAAACAAACACCAGAGAATTCTCTCTCTCTCTCTCTCTCTCTCTCTCTCTCTCTCTCTCTCTCTCTCTCTCTCTCTCTCTCTCTCTCTCTGTCTCTCTCTCTTTCACCCCCTCACTCTCTGTCTGTCTCCCCCCTCTCCTTCTCGCCCCCCCTCTCTCTCTCCCACTTCCCCCTCTCTTTCTCCATCTCTTTCCTTCCCTCCATCTCTCTATCTCTCTGCTACAGAAACAGCCACATGTAAATGGGGCAGAGAGTTAGTTCCTGGATTCCTTGGCCATCTGCCAATCTGGTTAACACACTTCAAGAGAAGATAACAACATAAAAACAGTCATAACTGCCACCTGCATTCCTTTTAAAAACCCACCAGGTTTCAACATGTGCAATAATATCACACAGGTACGATTCTGTTTGTTGAGCTAGTTAAAGACTTCTAGAGCTAACCTTCACCTTGTCTGTTTGTTGAGTAGCTAACCCTCACCTTCTCTGTTTGTTGAGCTAGTTAAGGTTAGGAAAAGGATAAGGGTTAGCTAACATGCAAAATAAATCTACTTTTGACGTCAATTTGACAAAAGCTGTATCCCATCTAGACATGACCATCTGCACGGGTTTGGGTCAATTTTAATCGAAGTCAGTTAATTCAGGAAGTGATTTGAATTTCAAATCCAAAAATAGCTTCTCCTTTTTCAGCTTATTGAGAAGTCATTGAAAATAGATGTCACTTTTTAAATAATTGAATTAGAATTTCAGTTTACTTCCTGAATTGTCTGACTTCAACCCTGACCTCTACTCATGGTCATGTTGGAACTGAGCTAGCAAATAATCAGTTGGAAGTGCCACCAGATTTTCGCTGATGTCACAATGAGAAAAGAGAGAGAAAAATAAATGAAGTTATACTAACTAAAGAAAACAACCCAATGTACTGTGTTATACTGCAGGGCTCCGCTCTGAAGTAAGACAACAATTCCTCTAAACGTTCTCTTTCATGTGACTAGCTAAGACCAAAGTAAAAAAAGAAAAGAGCATTAAGCTTCCAAGTCTGTCTCCATTGATAAAACATATAATACATAGTATTAACCTATTTACATTTTAGTCATTTAGCAGATGCTCTTATCCAGAGCGACTTACAGTTAGTGAATGCATACTTTTTATTTATTTATTATTATTTTTATTTTTTTATACTGGCCCCCCTGGGAAACGAACCCACATCCCTGCCGGCCAAACCCTCCCCTACCTTGGACGACGCTGGACCAATTGTGCGCCGCCCATGGGTCTCCCGGTCGCGGCCGGCTGCGACAGAGCCTGGACTTGAACCAGGATCTCTAGTGGCACAGCCTTAGACCACTGCGCCACTCAGGAGATTAAACATATATTGCATAGCATTCACCTTCCAAGTCTGTCTCCATTGATAAAACATATAATACATAACATTAACCTTCCAAGTCTGTCTCCATTGATAAAATATATAATACATAGCTAAAAAAGCTACTTCCTTACTTTGACACATGTGGCAATTCTATCAAAACAGCTGTGTGGTGGGATGATTACTCCTGGGATGGAACTACACACCAGTGGATTAAGTTGCTGACAAGCCTGGCTACTGAATGGTTTGACAACTAATACAGAGATTGGTTTGGCTCAGTCCAACCAACCTCTATGAGGAAGATTTGTAATGAATGGACACCAAGACAAATCAGGGAGAAAACAAACTCCCTGCATTTGTGGTGGCATCCCGAGGTACATTATATAGGACCAGGCAGTACAATACAGTAATGACTACTTTATAATCATCCAGAGTGGCTGTTCGCTGTACAGTGTATAACAACAGGACCTTTACAAAATCTATCAAAAGTGCACTGGCAGTGACAATGTACTTTCAGTCATTTCTCTGCCTTGCTGTGCAAAACTGCTCTGATGTATGACTTCTGAGTGTCAATAGAAAGCAGACCTTCTATGGAACCTTACGGAATCTTATGAAATCTCACAGAACCTTACTAACCCATGGAACTCCTGGAAGTGATGCAACAGAACCTTACTAACCCATGGAACTCCTGGAAGGGATGCAACAGAACCTTACTAACCCATGGAACTCCTGGAAGTGATGCAACAGAACCTTACTAACCCATGGAACTCCTGGAAGTGATGCAACAGAACCTTACTAACCCATGGAACTCCTGGAAGTGATGCAACAGAACCTTACTAACCCATGGAACTCCTGGAAGTGATGCAACAGAACCTTACTAACCCATGGAACTCCTGGAAGTGATGCAACAGAACCTTACTAACCCATGGAACTCCTGGAAGTGATGCAACAGAACCTTACTAACCCATGGAACTCCTGGAAGTGATGCAACAGAACCTTACCAGTTGCCGGGTGCAGGTAGAACCTTCCCCCCTCGTTGCCGGAGACGATGGAGTAGACGATGGGTTCCGTCTCAGTTCCGTCTCTAGTGAGGGCAGAGACGCTGATGACATCTGACCCTACCAGGGTGGATTCTGGGATCCGGGCGGAGTACTCCTGGCTTAGGAACACCGGCTGGTAGTCGCTCAGGTCCACAACATGCACCGTAACCGTGGCAATGGAGTACAGTTGTCGGGGAAGCCCCCGGTCGGTGGCTTTGACCTTGAGTTCAAAGGTCGACCGGGTGTTTTCGGCCAGCGACCTCTCCAGGCGCAGGATACCGGAGAACTCTTCTAATGAGAAGTGGCCGCTGTTGTCCTCGAGTAGAGAATACTTCACCTCAGAGTTTATTCCTGCAGAAGGAGAGAAGAGAATAGGAGTCAGTCTGGTTGTCCTGAGCAGAGACTATTTCATATAGAGACAGAACACTATCTGGCTACTATTATCTCTATGGTATTTCACCTCAGGAGGGGAAAATAGGAATTGTCAGTCTGGTTGGTTTAGAACAAGGAGTTTGGGTTTCTTCCAAAGTATACTAATAGGTAGTAACTTAATATGTAGCTAGGAGTAATAGCCTTATCAACGCTGTATCAAAACAATATGCAAGGTGCAATTATGAAGAAAACTCAAATAATAAACAGCCATAATAAACAGCCTCAGGATAATATATGATTAGATATGTGTTTCTGTACCTACAGGAGTGGCCTTGTTCCTCAGAATAATATATGATTAGATATGTGTTTCTGTACCTACAGGAGTGGCCTTGTTCCTCAGAATACCCCATAATGACAAAGTGAAAACAGGTTGTTAGAAATGTTTGCCAAAAATACACAAGTATTCAGATCCTCGAAATTGAGCTCAGGTACATCCTGTTTCTATTGATCATCCTTGAGATGTTTCTGCAGCGACGCTCCCCATCCAACCTGACAGAGCTTGAGAGGATCTGCAGAGAAGAATGGGAGAAACTCCCCAAATACAGGTGTGCCAAGCTTGTAGCGTCATACCCAAGAAGGCTTGAGGCTGTAATCACTGCCAAAGGTGCTTCAACAAAGTACTGAGTAAAGGGTCTGAATACTTATGTAAATGTGATATTTCAATTGTTTTTTGTAATACATTTGCAAAAATGTCTAAAAACCTGTTTTTGCTTTGTCATTATAGGGTATTGTGTGTAGATTGATGAGGGAAAAAACTATTTAATCCATTTTAGAATAAGGCTGTAACGTAACTAAATGTGGAAAATGTCAAAGGGTCTGAATACTTTCCCATTGCACTGTATATACACATCAATTACGCAATACATGAAAAGCAAAACACAATCAAATGAAACAAACACATTCTTTAGTAAAAAGGCCCTCCAACATCCGCCTGAATCGCACTACAGGCTACCAACTCAACCAACTTTAAGGGCTTTTGGAGATCATTCCACGCAAAAAAAACTAAAAACAGAATGACCTAACTCAGTAGATATTGAAGGGATCTCCAGGTTTAGCCATCCCTGATTCCATGTCTGGTAACTTATACGTCTGAAGGTTAACAATGAGGTAAGGTATGGCGGAAGTTTATGCAAGAGGGCTTTATTCACAAAAAGAGTGCAATGCATTGATCTACGAGACTTCAAGGAGGGCCGGCCTGCTTTCTGATACAGAATGCAGTGATAAGTCCTGAATCTGCTGCCCTTAATAAAGCGTAGTGCACTGTGGTAAACTGCATCCAATGGTTTCAGTGTATTGGCAGCTGCATTCACATAGACGATATTGCCATAGTCTAAAGCCGGAATGAATGTTGACAATGATTTGTTTTCTGCTATTTAACAAAAGACAGGACCTGTTCCTATAGAAGAATACTATTTTAATTAACCAATTTATCAACATGTTTTTTGAAAGATAGGTTTTCGTCAATCCAGATGCCCAGATATTTATAAGCGGGGACACGATCAATGAGGGCACCATCCAAATTACAATGCATTAATTAGTGATGCGCTTGTTGACTCATAACCCGCAGTCCCAGTGGATATATCCACAGGGCGGGTGAGTTTAGGGTCATTCAATATTATGTGGATGAAGGACGGGTGGGTGGCGGTCAGGAAGTATATAGGAGAATAGTCTCTATGTTATGACCTGGGGACGTAGATAGGAGTAAAGCCTCTGCTACGTTAAGGGGAGATTGAGATTTTACCATAGAAATAGAATTACTAGATCAGACAAAGCCCCTCAAACCATACCTCAGAACGTTAATGTCCATTCCAGTCACGCTGATTCTATAGATTTTAGCCCATATAAATAGAAAAACTAGATCAGTGAAGCCCCTTCAGACTATCCCTCAGAATGGGAACGTCTACTCTATTCATTTCATCTCAACAATATGACTTACCAGTGTCAGGGTCTTTGGCGTAGATGACAGCGATGGGTGTCCTGACGGTGGTGTTGTCGAACACGCTGACTTCATAGTGGTTGTTGGAGAACTTGGGAGGGTTGTCGTTCATATCCTGGATCACGAGTAAGATGTCTGTCTGGCAGGAGCGACCGCCGCCGTCCGTGGCTTTAACTACGAGATCATACTCCATCACCATCTCCCTGTCCAGCTGGGCCAGGGTGAACAACTCCCCTGTCACAGATAAGAAGAACAAATAATTAGATGAACAGATAGATGGACTTACTTAACCTATTCCTTCTAGGTCCTAGTGGAGCAGAGGGCTTCACATACACTATGTAGATTGATAGATATGGTCTAAGAATAGATGAAAACTGACTGTAGGTGGTGGGAAAAAACACTGAGATGTATATCAAAATTGTGGGAAAAAACACTGAGAACTATATGAAAATGGTGGGGGAAAAACACAGATCTATATCAAAATTGTGGGGAAAAACACTGAGAACTATGTCAAAATGGTGGGAAAAAACACAGATCTATATCAAAATTGTGGGGAAAAACACTGAGATCTATATCAAAATTGTGGGAAAAAACACTGAGAACTACACTACCAGTGAAATGTTTGGTCACACCTACTCATTCAAGTGTTTTTCTTCATTCTTACTATTTTTTACATTTTAGATTCTTCATACAGCCACTCTTTGCCTTGATGACAGCTTTGCACACTCTTGGCATTCTCTCAACCAGCTTCATGAGGTAGTCACCTGGAATGCATTTCAATTAACAGGTGTGCCTTCTTAAAAGTAAATTTGTGGAATTTCTTTCCTTCTTAATGCATTTGAGCCAATCAGTTGTGTTGTGAGAAGGTAGACAGAAGATAGCCCTATTTGGTAAAAGACCAAGCCAATATTATGGCAAGAACAGCTCAAATAAGCAAAGAGAAACGACAGTCCATCATTACTTTAAGACATCAATAAAGAACATTTCAAGAACTTTGAAAGATTCTTCAAGTGCAGTCGCAAAAACCATCAAGCGCTATGATGAAACTGAGGATCATGAGGACCGCCACAGGAAAGGAAGACCAAAAACACTGAGATGTGTATCAAAATGGTAGCGGAAAAACACTGAGATGTATTTCAAAATGGTGGGGAAAAGGGCCAGACAGTAGGCCTATACATTCTTTAAAAGTATCATCACAGTTTACAAAATATTTACTGAAATCTATCAAGAAGGAAACCGTGAGAAGTACAAATAAATCACAAGATTTTTACATTTCTGGTAGTCATTCACCATACTACCAGCGCCATACCATTACTTTGGGTTGAAGGCCATATCAAATAATCTCCTAGCATATATGTGATGTGAAAGGACAAATTCTTAAGATTATGAGCCCTGATTGGCTTACCATAATGAAGAGGGATTGATGATAGGCTAGTGCTATGACAAACAGGAAGTATGGTTGATGAGAAGCCAAAACACCAAACCTTTGTGGTGGTCTGACAGTGCACCATCTTGTCTTCTTGAATACCTCAGTTTATGTATTTTGTAAGAATGGAGATGTTATCTCTCAACCCAAACAAATAACGGATTTCACTTAGGGCCTCTTTTTGTTTACACCCCAAATAACAGTTGTCTCTAACCTGTCTTTTGATCAAGACGGAACTTGTCTGCGTTGGGGCCGTGGAGGGTGTAGGACACTTGTCCGTTGGTGCCGATGTCTGGGTCCGACGCTGAAACCTTCAGTATGAACATGCTTGACGGGGAATTCTCCATGACAACCTCTGTGTACAGCAACTGAAACATTGATAGTTAGCTTCATCTTAGGTAAAAATTGCAGTTGTTGACATAGGCATTTCATTCATACTCAGGTAGGCTACTGCTCGTGGATGTACAGGTATGTATGAACTGTTATAAAGTCCTTATGTAGGTACAACGTGTTACCGCTCTGCATGTATGACGTTGCGTAAGACGTGTAGTGTATAATCTACAGGAATCTAAATATATACCGTAGTGTCATGGCTGACTGACATACCTGCTCACACAGAGGACTGTTATCGTTGACGTCTAGAACATGGACCTCTACAGTGGCAGGGGCCTCGAATCTCCCGTCGGTAACTGTTATCTTCAGGGAGTACTTATCTTTATCTTCGCGGTCAAGCGACTCTTTGAGGACCAGCACCCACTCCTCTCCCTCTTGCACAACGGAGAACTGGGCCAATGGGTCTCCATCTAAGGAAAAACATTTGAATGCTATAAATGGAATGTCAACGCTACCTGGAGACCTATATGGGTTTGATCATAACCACCACATCATTCTTCCTATCAATGTAGTCACTTTTACACTTAGAATAAACCATTATAGAAGATATATTGCTCTGGAGAAGTACTGTGCCCATCTGTTTCTTATTTAAATGTTGTTCATTATGCTGATAGGCCTGAGAAAAGTACCATTCAACAACTTCAAAAAAGTGTATGTGATCGATCATTCAATCAATCCAATTAATCAATCAACAAGACTCACCTGTGATGTAGCACGTGATCTGCCTGTTCTCTTTAGTCACATCCATATCAACGGTCGTCAGGCTCATGATGACCTCCCCAGGCCTAGTGTTCTCCATGACAGACCCATGGTACACGTCCTCCGTGAACCGAGGAGGGTTGTCGTTCTCGTCAGTCACCGTCACCTCCACTAGAACTGAGGACGAGAGCTTAACCTCCCCCCCGTGGTCAGTAGCCACCACTGTGAAGCTGTAGTGTTGTGTCGTCTCACTGTCCGTTTCTCTCAGAGTAGTTATCCAACCGCTCTCACTGTCGATGGAGAAGATGTCGGTGATGTCATCGGGTTCGGCTTCCAAGGTATAGGTCACCTGTCCATTGGTGTCCTGGTCAGGGTCATTGGCAGTCACCTGAATGGATGAATGGATGCATTAATGAATTAAAATGAAACTGTTATTGCCCCAAAAGGGAATTTGATTTGCACATCATGAACACAGAAATCATAAAGAATTGCATACAACAGTACAAAAATATTAGATCAATGAAAAAAACATATCTGAAAAAAACATACCTGGATGACGGTGGTTCCTGGTGGCGTGTTCTCAGCCAGGAAGGCCTTGTAAGGGTTGGCCTCGAACACCGGCACGTTGTCATTCACATCCTGGACCTGGATGCTGACCGACACCAGCGAGGCTACGTCGGTCCCGTTGTGGTTGCCTTGAGCAATAACATCTATCTGATACCACTTGGTCTTCTCGTGGTCGATGCTCTTCTGGACGAGTAGAGTACCGCTCTCTTTATCCAGAGCAAACACTCTGTCTCTGTTGCTCTCCACAGTGTTGCCATTGACCAGGCTGTAGATGACTGGCATATCGTAGTCAGCCTTGATCGTCCCGATCTCTGTTCCCACAGAGATGTCCTCGGCTGCGGAGAACGTGTACAGCGGCTCGGAGAACTTCGGAAGAGGGACCTCAGGTGGTACTACTTTCACCTGCACCGGAACCGTGGAGTTGTAGAACGGTAATCCGCCGTCCCGAGCCTTGACTTTGAAGTTGAATATCTTGTTCTCTTGACCTATCAGGCTCTGTTTGACGCTGACAATGCCAGTGAAGGGGTTGATCTCGATGATGTCCTCGGTCACTTCCTCTGCTTCGTCCACGGTGTAGGTGACGTCAGCATTTTTGCCGTCGTCTGCGTCGTACGCCATTATCTGAATCACGGGAGTACCTTTGTTTACAGTAGACTGGATTGAGACCTGATACTCTGATGCTTTGAACTGAGGGGCATTATCATTCTCATCTGTCAGGATAATCTTCACAGTGCAGAACGCTACTTTCCCTCCGCCATCTTTAGCCATCACCTTGATGGCAATCACTCTTTGGGATGGGTTCTCTCGATCTAAAGGTTGAGATGTTACGACCTGTCCATTCTTGTCTATGGAGAATTTGTCATCTGCCAGTTTGTTGATGATGGTGTAGTCCACGCTGCCGTAAGGTCCATCGTCAGGGTCTATGGCGGCCAGGCGAATCACACGTGTTCCAGCCTCAGCGTTCTCAGCTAGTTCCGCCTCGTAGATGTTCTTGTTAAAATAGGGGCTGTGTTTATTAGTGTTCATGATATCAATGTTCACAGGGGCTGTGTTCTGGAAAACGCCATCTGACACGGCCACGGTGAGGTTGTAGAATGGGTCCACATTTCTCTTGCAGACTTTAGAAAAGGAGATAATTCCGGAGGATTCGTTGATGGCGAAATATCTTCCCTCATTACCTGAGAGGATCTTATACTGTAGATTGTTCAAGTCTCTGGTGTCGGGGTCCGAAGCTTGGATTTTTATGACGATGTGGCCACATTTGGCCATTTCATCCAGTGTTGCCTGATAGTGGGGCTTGGAGAAGTTTGGAGGGTTGTCGTTGATGTCGATTACGTTAACAATGACATAGGCTTCGCTGCTCAATGGGCTTGTGCCATTATCTATGGCTTTGATCTTTAACTGGAAGTGCTTTGTGTTCTCATAGTCCAACACCTGTGTCGTAACAATTAGACCACTCTGGGGATCTATTTTAAAGAAGTCCGTTGCATTTTCCCACGTCCCCAAAACATGGAAGGTTATGTCTTTATTTCTGCCCGAGTCTATATCTGTGGCTGATATCTGTAATACAGACGTGCCTATGGGTAATCCTTCAGGCATATCCACTGTGTCAGTCAGCTTGGAGAAGACTGGAGGGTTATCGTTAACATCTTCAACCTCTATTTCGACATCAGCCACTGAATAGGAGCCTGTCACAGAGTCAGTGGCTCGAACCGTCAATAGATGCATTGTCTGGCTCTCATAGTCCAATAAATCAGTGACACTCAACACTCCTGTTTTAAAATCTATGTGAAAGTGTTTTGAGGCATTCTCCTCTTCCAGATTGTAAATAAGCCGGTATCCCTCAGGGTTTCTTGCTTGTACTTGCAATATTGTGGTGAAGGGAGATATGTTTTCAGGGACTTTCAGAGGATAGAGCAAAGTCTGAAAAATGGGGTTGGTGCGATTTCTCAACGTGATACTCAGCACTGCTGAAGTGGTCCAACTGGGCGAGCCCTCATCTGTGGCCAGGACAGTCAGGGCATATTTATTGGTAGCTTCAAAGTCTATAGGCCGCTGAAGGGACACGTCACCAACATAAGGGTCTATCCTAAAGAGATCAAAATCCTCCTCCAACAAGTACATAATAGAGCCATTTTCTCCAAGATCACTGTCGGCGGCCATCACTTGAAAGATTACATCTCCTGGGTCCGTGTCTTCAGAGATCATCATGGACTGAGGCAGGTTCAAGAACCTTGGTCGATTGTCATTGACGTCAACTATGTAAACGTTGACGTGGGTTATTGCCCTGCGAGGGGGGCTCCTCATGTCTCTCACCTCCACCACTATGTCATAGACATCCTGCTCCTCTCTGTCGAAGGGGACGCCGGTGGTCTCAAGCACCCCTGATGTTGGGACTATAGCAAACCGTCCCGTTGGGTTCAATACAGAGTAAATCAGAGGCTCGTTTAAGTAACTACCTGAAGCTCTCAACACAGCTAACGTTCTGACCGACATAGAGTTCTCCACAATGGTGACTGCATACAATCCCTGCTCAAATTCAAGATGGCCGCCTGCTCTTATGTTGGTGACGTTTATCTTAACTGTGGCAAGGTCTTTGTACAGGCCGTCAGAGGCTTTGAGCAGCAGCTGGTAAAAGGATTTAAACTCTGAAACATTGTTTACAGAGATAGCACCAGTGGAAGGATGAATGAGAAAAGCATTTTGAAGGTTGCCCTCTGTGATGCTGTATGAGACAGCTGAATCTGCGTCTTGTGCCGTGACCCGTACAACCTCCATCTCTCTGACAGGAGGGAAGATGATGGACGACTCGTACACCGGCGTAGCGAATTTGGGGGAACAGTCATTGAAATCCAGGACATGGACGGTGACTCTGGCTGGCTCTGCTGCGTACAGCGACCGTTCCCCTGAGTCCCTTACCTGAATGCTGAAGCGAAACTCAGGTGTTTCTTCAAAGTCCACCTCCGATATCAAAGAGAGTGTACCCATGCTGGGATCTATCTTGAAGACTTTCATCGCTTCCGGTTCCAGGATTTGGAAGACTAGGAGAGAGTTAGAGTCCCTGTCGGCATCGGAGGCTCGTATCACCAGAGGTGTGTTGCTCTCCCCCATCACCATGCTGTTGATGTGAGCGGACTCACTAATCTGGCCATGGAATATCTCCTGGAGGAACACCGGAGGGTTATCATTCTCATCTATCACATAGACGTAAACAACCGTAACTGACGAGGCTCCAGCCGAGGTGCTGGCACGCACTTTGAGTCTGTACGAGAAACATTCCTCGAAGTTGAGGCTCGTTTGGACAGAGAGAACTCCGGAGTCTGCATTGATGTGGAAGGTTCCGTTAGGGTCTCCATCTTTGATGCTGTAGTGGACTGAAGATGGGCTGGCTGCAGAGACAGTGATCACGGGAGTTCCCAGAGGACTGGCTTCACTGACTTCTGAGAAGTGCTCATCTGAGGGGAACCTGGGAGAGAGAAGAGAGAATGTTTTTTATGAACAATTAGGAAAGCAGTACATAATATCAATAGTAGCTGATGTTGAATTATTTGATACAATTTACAAATAAAAAAAATTAAGAATTATCAAACATCATAATACTATTTTATATACATATTAACCTGGGAGGGGTTCTGTCTGATAGCAGGACGGTGATGGAGACAGAACAGAGGTCGCTGTGCTGGGGGAAACCCTGGTCTGTGGCCTTCACTGTCAGATGAAACTGCTCCTGGGGTAGGTTGTCCAGAGGCTTGGCGACAGTGATACTCCCCAGCTCGCCATCGATGTCAAAGGTGTTGTCGACATTCCCTGTAAAGATTAACAATGACCAAATAAAAATTAACTAATTATTTTACAAACATATATTTTTGTGTATAGAATGTTTTAAATTGTCAACACATTTGCCTATACGTGAGGGTAAAGTAAAAATCTATCTCAAAGAATGATTTTAGAACAGAATATACTTGTTCTATAGCACTCTTATAAAGAAAAAAGAAAAATAGATCATCATACTTGAAGAACTTTCACAATCCAGATCCATCATAATCTACCCCCGTAATCTCTGATCTGTGTTGTACCTGAGTGAAGGGAGTAGATAATCTGAGCGTTGCTCCCAATGTCCTTATCCAGAGCCTTGACACGCAGCACCTCTGTCCCAGCCGCAGCCTGATTGGTGATAGTGCCCTCATAGTCGGTTGCCATGAAGGCAGGAGAGTGGTCGTTGCAGTCCTCCACATAAACCACTGCCTTCACAAAGTTTCTTTTCACTGGGATCACCTGATCTCGAACCTATGGCGTTAAAGGAGAAGGTGAGAGCAGGACAGAGAAGGGACATTAATCCTAGATTACCAGAAAAAAATGATTGCTATAATCTGACAGAGAGTACTTTGTGAAACGGTTGTGGTAGATACGCTGTACTTTAGGTCCTCATGTTTTCAATGTAAAGGGAGAGAAAAAAGGAAACATCACTAAAAACATTACCATCACAGTGAGCGTGTGCACAGAAAGCTTCTCATGGTCCAGCTGCTCAGTCATGACCAGCACACCACTCTTGGGGTCCAGATGGAAGTCCTTCAGGCTGTCTGGATGGACGCTGCTGTGGAGGGAGTAGATTAGTTTGCTGTTGCTGTCTTGGTCCTGAGCAGAGATTTGGAGGATCTCCTTCCATGGAGAGGTGTCTTCTGGTACTCTGACCTCGTAGATCGACTTCATGAACATGGGTCGATGCTCGTTCACGTCCACCACACGGATATATGCCTAGGAGACAGACAGACAGACAGACAGACAGACAGACAGACAGACAGACAGACAGACTGTCACGGTTTCGGCCGAGGCTGCCTCTCTCCCTTGTTCGGGCAGGCTTCGGCGTTCGTCGTCTCCGGAATTCTAGCTGCCACCGATTTATGTTTTCATGTTCGTTTGCTTTTGTCTGTTTGTGTCACACCTGTTTCTGTTTTACGTGATTAGTATCCTATAAGTTTCTCGTTGTGTTTGTCTTGTGTTGTGTGTGATTGTTTTCGTCAGTGTTGTGTTTGCTCGGTTGAGCATAATTCTCTCCACTGCGCTGGAGCTCATTTTGCACTTGTTTCGTGCACTACTATTTTTGTCGCACCTGTTTGTGCGCATTTTGCCTACACGCCTTTGGCGTAGTTTAGCTGTTGGGCTTTGTTGCCCTGTTGCCTGTGTTTGGGTCGGAATACAGCTTTTGGAACCTACCGTCTGCGTCCTGCATCTGATTTCCTACACCACACCTACACACGCCCTGACAGAATCACACACCACCCATGGAATCAGCAGGAGCAGAAGCAGCCCAGACAAGACTGGAGGCCCAGGTTCGGGATCAGCAGGAGCAACTCCTGCAGATGGGGAACGCCCTGCAGGAGGTTATTTCCACACTCCGAGGCTGGGGTTCGCCTCCACCACCGCCCGCCCAGCCAGCACCATCGGTCAGCCCGCCCGTTCCAGCACCGGAACATCGAGGAGTCCGTCTATCTCTCCCGAGGGCTTACGACGGGACAGCGGCTGGGTGTCAGGGGTTCTTGCTCCAGGTCGAGCTGTACCTGGCCACAGTCCATCCGGCACCTTCAGGGCATGAGAGCGTGTCCGCCCTAATCTCCTGCCTGGCCGGTAAAGCGTTGGAGTGGGCCAACGCAGAGTGGAGGAAGATCGACGCCACGACCATCACCTACACCGAGTTCTCCCGCCGCTTTAGGGCGGTGTTCGACCATCCCCCGGAGGGGAAAGCGGCGGGGGAGCGTCTGGTCTTCCTTAGGCAGGGGAGGAGGAGTGCCCAGGAATTCGCACTCGAATTCCGTACTCTAGCGGCAGATGCAGGGTGGAATGATCGGGCCCTCATCGATCTCTACCGATGTAGCCTCAGAGAGGACGTCCGTCGGGAGCTGGCCTGTCGGGACGCCAGTCTCACTTTCGACCAGCTGGTCGACATGTCAATTAGGTTGGATAACCTATTGGCTACCCGCGGACGTCCTGAGGGGGGTCCGTCCATTCCATCCTCCAGCGCACCCGAGCCGTGTCCTATGGAGCTCGGGGGCGCTGGCGCTAGAGGTAGGAGGAGTCGGCAGAGTGGGGGGTCCATCCACTGCACCAACTGTGGTCGGGGAGGACACACCGCGGCTAGGTGCTGGGGATGGCCTCCTCGGGGAGATGACGACAGGTCCCGCACTGGGGATTCCCTCCAGGTGAGTAGGCGCCCCACTCACCCAGAGCTCACTGTTGCCCATTTTTGTATGCCTGTGTGTTTTCCGCAGGTGGCACCTCATTCCCAGTGTAAGGCGCTGGTAGATTCAGGCGCGGCTGGGAATTTCATTGATAAGAAGTTTTGTTTAGAGTTAGGGTTTCCCCTTCTCCCTGTGGAAGTTCCTTTTCCCGTTCACGCCCTAGATAGTCGTCCGTTGGGTACGGGCTTAATCAGGGAGGTCACGGCGCCACTTAGGATGTGTGCGCAGGGGAGTCATCAGGAGATAATACAACTGTTTCTGATTGACTCTCCTGCGTATCCGGTGGTGCTGGGCATGCCCTGGTTAAGTACCCATAACCCCGTTATTTCGTGGCAGGAGAGGGCTCTGAAGGAGTGGTCTGCTCAGTGTGTGGGTAGATGTTTGGGCGTTTCCTTAGGGGCTACCTCGGTGGAAAGTCCAAACCAGGTGCCCGCATTGCACATTCCACCTGAGTATGGGGATCTGGCTATCGCGTTTAGTAAGGCGAGGGCGACGCGATTGCCACCCCATAGGCAGGGGGATTGTGCGATAGACCTTCAGGCAGGAGCTGCGCTCCCACGGAGTCATGTGTATCCTCTGTCTCAGGAGGAGAAGAAAGCTATGGAGGTTTACATAGACGAATCACTGAGACAAGGATACATACGGCCGTCCACTTCCCCCGCATCCTCGAGTTTCTTTTTCGTGAAGAAGAAGGATGGGGGGTTGCGTCCGTGCATCGACTACCGTGGTCTCAATCAGATTACGGTGAAGTATAGTTATCCACTCCCGCTGATTGCGACCATGACGGAGTCGTTGCATGGGGCGCGTTTCTTCACGAAATTAGATCTCAGGAGCGCGTACAACTTGGTGCGCATCAGGAAGGATGATGAATGGAAAACAGCCTTTAGTACCACCTCGGGCCATTACGAGTATCTCGTCATGCCATACGGGTTGATGAATGCTCCGTCAGTTTTCCAATCATTCGTGGATGAGATCTTCAGGGACATGCAGGGACAGGGAGTGGTGGTGTACATAGATGACATCCTCGTGTACTCACCTACCCGTGTCGAGCATGTGGCCCTGGTGCGCAGAGTGTTGCGGAGGCTGGTGGAGCACGACCTGTATGTGAAGGCAGAGAAGTGTCTGTTTTTCCAGGAGTCGATTTCCTTCTTGGGGTATCAGTTGTCTGCGTCAGGGGTGAAGATGGAGGTAGACCGAGTGTCAGCCGTGAGTAATTGGCAAACACCAACCACTGTGAAAGAGGTGCAGCAGTTTTTGGGGTTTGCGAATTACTACCGGAGGTTTATCCGGGGTTTTGGGCAGGTGGCAGCTCCCATCACGTCTCTCTTAAAGGGGGGCCCGGTGCGTCTGCAGTGGTCAGTCGAGGCGGACAGGGCTTTTAAGAAGCTGAAGGACCTGTTCACCTCGGCTCCGGTGCTGGCGCATCCGGATCCCTCCTTACCATTTCAGGTAGAGGTGGACGCGTCTGAAGCCGGTATTGGCGCCGTGCTGTCCCAACGGTCAGGCGCGCCACCTAAACTCCGCCCCGTTGCCTTCTATTCCAAGAAGCTCAGCCCGGCGGAGCGAAATTATGACGTCGGGGACAGGGAGCTGTTAGCTGTGGTCCAAGCCCTTAAGGTGTGGAGGCACTGGCTTGAGGGGGCTCAACACCCTTTCCTCATTTTGACGGACCACCGTAACCTGGAGTACATCCGGGCAGCGAGGAGGCTGAACCCTCGACAGGCTAGATGGAGTATGTTTTTGACCCGTTTCTCTTTTAAGATCACCTACATCCCTGGGTCACAAAACGGTAAGGCAGATGCACTGTCTCGGCGGTATGACGGGGAGGAGAGGTCCGTGGAGCCCACTCCCATACTGCCGGAGTCGTGTCTAGTGGCACCGGTGGTGTGGGAGCTCGATTCTGAGCTCGAGCGGGCATTACGCACCGACCCTAGTCCACCACAATGCCCGGAGGGTCGGAAGTATGTTCCGCTCGAGTGTCGGGATCGATTGATCTATTGGGCTCACACGTCACCCTCCTCTGGACATCCGGGTATCGGTCGGACAGTGCACTGTCTTAGTGCCAAATATTGGTGGCCTACGTTGGCCAGGGATGTGAGGGTTTATGTTTCCTCCTGCTCGGTGTGCGCCCAGTGTAAGGCGCCTAGACATCTGCCTAGGGGTAAGTTACTACCCCTGCCCGTTCCACAACGACCATGGTCCCACCTCTCGGTGGATTTTATAACTGATCTTCCCCTCTCTCAAGGGAATACTACACTCCTGGTCGTTGTGGATCGGTTCTCTAAGGCCTGTCGTTTGCTCCCCATGCCGGGTCTTCCTACTGCCCTACAAACCGCCGAAGCACTATTCACTCATGTGTTCCGGCACTACGGGGTGCCCGAGGACATTGTGGCTGACCGGGGTCCCCAATTCACCTCCAGAGTCTGGAGAGCTTTTATGGAGCGGTTGGGGGTCTCGGTGAGTCTCACCTCGGGTTACCACCCGGAGAGTAATGGGCAGGTGGAACGCGTAAACCAGGATGTGGGCAGGTTTCTCAGAACATACTGCCGGGACCGGCCGGAGGAGTGGGCGAGATATGTGCCCTGGGCTGAGATGGCACAGAACTCTCTTCGCCACTCCTCCACCCAACTAACCCCTTTTCAGTGTGTTTTAGGGTACCAGCCGGTTCTGGCACCATGGCATGAGAGCCAGATCGAGGCCCCCGCTGTGGATGAGTGGGTGCGGCGCTCGGAGGAGACGTGGGACGCTGCACACGTCCATCTGCAGCGTGCCATACGTCGACAGAAGACGAGCGCCGACCTACACCGCAGTGAGGGGCCTGTGTACGCACCTGGAGATCGAGTCTGGCTCTCTGCCAGAAACCTGCCCCTCCGCCTGCCCTGTCGGAAACTGGGTCGGCGGTTTGTAGGGCCATTTAAAGTCCTGAGAAGGTTGAACGAGGTTTGTTATAGATTACAGTTGCCAGTGGAGTATAAATGTATTAACCCCTCGTTCCATGTGTCCCTTCTCAGGCCGGTGGTAGCAGGCCCGCTCCAAGAACATGAGATCTTGGAGACCCCCCCGCCCCCGTTGGACATCGAGGGGGCACCGGCGTACACCGTGAGATCCATCTTGGATTCTAGACGTCGGAGAGGGGGTCTTCAGTATCTAGTGGAGTGGGAGGGGTACGGTCCGGAGGAGCGGTGCTGGGTGCCGAGGAGAGACATCTTGGACCCGTCGCTCCTGACGGAATTCCATCGGGGGTATCCGACGCGCCCTGCGCCGCGGCCTCCGGGTCGTCCCCAAGGCCGGAGTCGGCGCGCGTCTGGAGCCGCGCGTCAAGGGGGGGGTACTGTCACGGTTTCGGCCGAGGCTGCCTCTCTCCCTTGTTCGGGCAGGCTTCGGCGTTCGTCGTCTCCGGAATTCTAGCTGCCACCGATTTATGTTTTCATGTTCGTTTGCTTTTGTCTGTTTGTGTCACACCTGTTTCTGTTTTACGTGATTAGTATCCTATAAGTTTCTCGTTGTGTTTGTCTTGTGTTGTGTGTGATTGTTTTCGTCAGTGTTGTGTTTGCTCGGTTGAGCATAATTCTCTCCACTGCGCTGGAGCTCATTTTGCACTTGTTTCGTGCACTACTATTTTTGTCGCACCTGTTTGTGCGCATTTTGCCTACACGCCTTTGGCGTAGTTTAGCTGTTGGGCTTTGTTGCCCTGTTGCCTGTGTTTGGGTCGGAATACAGCTTTTGGAACCTACCGTCTGCGTCCTGCATCTGATTTCCTACACCACACCTACACACGCCCTGACACAGACAGACAGACAGACAGACAGACAGACAGACAGACAGACAGACAGACAGACAGACAGACAGACAGACAGGAAGATAAACTTAATCTAAAGTTTTACCATAACAACTAATTTACCATGTATTTCATATGTATATCACCTGTGTGGTTGCGACCTGATGCCCGTCCGTAACCTGTACAGTCAGATTATAGTTGGACTTCTTCCCTGCATCCAGAGGCCTGGCGATCACGATGCTGCCTTTGTTCCTCTCAATGTCAAAGTCCTGCTCCTCATCGCCCCCTGGGAGAGAACAACAACACAATAGATAGGAGATGGTGAAAATCAATCAACATCATCAATCATCACATACAAGGACAGTTTGAAGTTTGACAGTTAGAAATTTGACAGTTGAAAGGCCTCAGTGGAAGCCTTCCCAGAGTCCCTCAGGATGTTTGGCTACGTAAGTGTCTGTCACTGAGAGTGACCTCAGTGGAAGCCTTCCCAGAGTCCCTCAGGATGTTTGGCTACGTAAGTGTCTGTCACTGAGAGTGACCTCAGTGGAAGCCTTCCCAGAGTCCCTCAGGATGTTTGGCTACGTAAGTGTCTGTCACTGCGAGTGACCTCAGTGGAAGCCTTCCCAGAGTCCCTCAGGATGTTTGGCTATGTAAGTGTCTGTCACTGAGAGTGACCTCAGTGGAAGCCTTCCCAGAGTCCCTCAGGATGTTTGGCTACGTAAGTGTCTGTCACTGAGAGTGACCTCAGTGGAAGCCTTCCCAGAGTCCCTCAGGATGTTTGGCTACGTAAATGTCTGTCACTGAGAGTGACCTCAGTGGAAGCCTTCCCAGAGTCCCTCAGGATGTTTGGCTACGTAAGTGTCTGTCACTGAGTGTGGCCCCACTGGCTTTATGGGAGGAGTGAGTGAGAGTCCATGTGGCAGTTGTGACACACAGGTACACTACCGGTCAAAAGTTTTAGAACACCTACTCATTCAAGGAGATTTTCTTTATTTTTACTATTTTCTACATTGTAGAATAATAGTGACGACATCAAAACTATTAAATAACACATAAGGAATCATGTAGTAACCAAAAAAGTGTTAAACAAATCAAAATATATTTTATATTTGAGATTCTTCAAATAGCCACCCTTCGCCTTGATGACAGCTTTGCACACTCTTGGCATTCTCTCAACCAGCTTCACCTGGAATGCTTTTCCAACAGTCTTGAAGGAGTTCCCACATATGCTGAGCACTTGTTGGCTGACTTTCCTTCACTCCGTGGTCCAACTCATCCCAAACCATCTCAATTTGGTTGAGGTCGGGGGATTATGGAGGCCAGGTCATTTGATGCAGCACTCCATCACTCTCCTTCTTGGTAAAATAGCCCTTACACAGCCTCGAGGTGTATTTTGGGTCATTGTCCTGTTGAAAAACAAATGATAGACACACTAAGCCCAAACAAAGATGGGATGGCGTATTGCTGCAGAATGCTGTGGTAGCCATGCTGGTTAAGTGTGCCTTGAATTCTAAAAAAAATCACAGACAGTGTCACCAGCAAAGCACCCCCACACCATAACACCTCCTCCTCCATGCTTTACGGTGGGAAATACACATGCGGAGATCATCCGTTCACACACACCGTGTCTCACAAATACACGGCGGTTGGAACCAAAAATCTCCAATTTGGATTCCAGACCAAAGTACACATTTCCACCGGTCTAATGTCCATTGCTCGTGTTTCTTGGCCCAAGCAAGTCTGTTCTTCTTATTAGTGTCTTATAGTAGTGCTTTCTTTGCAGCAATTCGACCATGAAGGCCTGATTCACACAGTGCCCTCTGAACAGTTGATGTTGAGATGTGTCTGTTACTTGAACTCTGTGAAGCATTTATTTGGGCTGCAATTTCTGAGGCTGGTAACTCTAATGAACTTATCCTCTGCAGCAGAGGTAACTCTGGGTCTTCCATTCCTGTGGCAGTCCTCATGAGAGCCAGTTTCATCATAGCGCTTGATGGTTTTTGCGACTGCACTTGAAGAAACTTTCAAAGTTCTTGAAATGTTCCGTATTGACTGACCTTCATGTCTTAAAGTAATGATGGACTGTCATTTCTATTTGCTTATTTGAGCTGTTCTTGCCATAATATGGACTTGGTCTGTGTAAGGGCTATTTTACCAAGAAGGACCTGGCCTCCACAATCCCCCGACCTCAACCAAATTGAGATGGTTTGGGATGAGTCGGGCCGCAGAGTGAAGGAAAAGCAGCCAACAAGTGCTCAGCATATGTGGGAACTCCTTCAAGACTCTTGGAAAAGCATTACAGGTGAAGCTGGTTGAGAGAATGCCAAGAGTGTGCAAAGCTGTCATCAAGGCAAAGGGTGGCTATTTGAAGAATCTCAAATATAAAATATATTTTGATTTGGTTAACACTTTTTTGGTTACTACATGATTCCATATGTGTTATTTCAAAGTGTGTTTTTTGTAGAATAATAGTAAAAATAAAGAAAAACCCTTGAATGAGTAGGTGTTCTAAAACTTTTGACCGGTAGTGTCATCCAGAACCATAATGACTTGGCTGTGGTTGGAGGATCATTCTTTCTGCAGATGGACCTGTTGGCAGCTGTTTGGAGCGTCCACTGGAAATTGAGTTTACCCAGTCAGGACAGGTGGAAAGACATAAAACATCTTAAAACTACTGAGAGAGGTTAATACCTAATTTCACCCATTTGAATGATGGCCATCGCCTTGCATGCATGCGTGTGAATATGGATAATGAGCTAAGAGGCTCTCCCCTCACTGAACATGGCCACAAACACATGTACTGTATTGCACCCTCAACAGTTTTGAGGCATTACTCCCTGGGCTACTTCTCACTATGCATCATTTTACTGAGAGCAATAAACAAACATGACGAACCGTCGTCATCCTCCCTTGTATGTATTAATGATAGGAAACAAGGTTGCAGAAAAGGGTCGTCCCCCTTTAGCAGGGTGGTTAAGGTTAGGGTTAGGCATTAGGGTTAGCAGTGTGGTTAAGGTTAGGGTTAGGCATTAGGGTTAGCAGTGTGGTTAAGGTTAGGGTTAGGCATTAGGGTTAGCAGTGTGGTTAAGGTTAGGGTTAGGCATTAGGGTTAGCAGTGTGGTTATGGTTAGGGTTAGGCATTAGGGTTAGCAGTGTGGTTAAGGTTAGGGTTAGGGTTAGGTTTAAAAACAGATTTTATGACTTTGTGGCTGTGCCAGCTAGTAACCACTCTGCAAAGCTGCCTCTAAAACAAGATTCATGATGAAAAACGCTAACCTTTGGAAAAATCAAACACCCAATGTATCCAATGCCCAGATTAAAAAATATTGACAGAGGCTTTGAAAGAGACAGAGAAGAAATAGATTGTTTGTTTAAATATATAATGGGCTGACCAGATGGAGTGTTGAAAAGCAGCTGTCACAGTCAGATGGAAAGCTGAAGATCTCAACACAATTGCATTTAGCCATCAAGTGCTTTTCAAGATGCCATCTAAATTGCCATGGTTGAGTTCATGTATGTCCCACCACAAAGGCTTGCTTTCAAGCATGCACGCGCGCACACGCACACGCACACACACACACACACACACACACACACACACACACACACACACACACACACACACACACACACACACACACACACACACACACACACACACACACACACACACACTGGGCCCTTGCCCCTAGCTGAGGTGTTATCTGCCACACCGAGACCAGGCCTGCTGCTCTGTTCAACAGCAGAGTGACGTGAACTCAATCTACCACCATCATAGTGAACACAGCGCACAGCAAAACACACAGCGCACAGCAAAACACACAGCGCTCAGCAAAACACACTGCAAAACAGACAGTGCTCAGCAAAACACACAGCAAAACACACAGCAAAACACACAGCAAAACACACAGCGCTCAGCAAAACACACAGCAAAACACACAGCAAAACACACAGCAAAACACACAGCAAAACACACAGCAAAACACACAGCAAAACACACAGCAAAGCACACAGCGCTCAGCAAAACACACAGCAAAACACACAGCAAAACACACAGCAAAACACACAGCGCTCAGCAAAACACACAGCAAAACACACAGCGCTCAGCAAAACACACAGCAAAACACACAGCGCACAGCAAAACACACAGCAAAACACACAGCGCACAGCAAAACACACAGCGCACAGCAAAACACACAGCAAAACACACAGCACACAGCAAAACACACAGCAAAACACACAGCGCACAGCAAAACGCACAGCAAAACACACAGCGCTCAGCAAAACACACAGCAAAACACACAGCAAAACACACAGCGCACAGCAAAACACACAGCGCACAGCAAAACACACAGAAAAACACACAGCACACAGCAAAACACACAGCAAAACACACAGCACACAGCAAAACGCACAGCAAAACACACAGCGCACAGCAAAACACACAGCGCTCAGCAAAACACACAGCAAAACACACAGCAAAACACACAGCGCACAGCAAAACACACAGCGCACAGAAAAACACACAGAAAAACACACAGCACACAGCAAAACACACAGCAAAACACACAGCGCACAGCAAAACACACAGCAAAACACACAGCGCACAGCAAAACACACAGCGCACAGCAAAACACACAGCGCACAGCAAAACACACAGCAAAACACACAGCGCACAGCAAAACACACAGCAAAACACACAGCGCACAGCAAAATATATGGCAAAACACACAGCGCACAGCAAAACACACAGCGCACAGAAAAACACACAGCGCTCAGCAAAACACACAGCAAAACACAGAGCAAAAAACACAGCGCTCAGCAAAACACATAGTAAAACACACAGCAAAACACATGGCAAAACACACAGCGCACAGCAAAATATATGGCAAAACACACAGCGCACAGCAAAACACACAGCGCACAGAAAAACACACAGCGCTCAGCAAAACACACAGCAAAACACAGAGCAAAAAACACAGCGCTCAGCAAAACACATAGTAAAACACACAGCAAAACACACAGCAAAACACACAGCAAAACACACAGCGCTCAGCAAAACACACAGCAAAACACAGCAAAACACACAGCAAAAAACACAGCGCTCAGCAAAACACACAGCAAAACACACAGCAAAACACACAGCGCTCAGCAAAACACATAGCAAAACACAGTAAAACACAGCAAAACACACAGCAAAACACACAGCGCACAGCAAAACACACAGCAAAACACACAGCGCACAGCAAAACAGGACTCCATCTCTTTTTAATTTTTGATGGGTCGTGTTTTGTCTTGCCTTTAAGTACATGCCAAAAATGTGTGAAATGTTCATTGATCATCTTCATTTTGACTCATCCCATTTGGTCAGTTTAATAAAACAGCTACTTTTACGGTAACTTTACTCCAAGCCTTTACTGTGTCAACTAATATAACTATTGCTATAATAACATCAAATTACACAAATCTGATCATATTTTCCAGGATGTTGGTTTCTATAAAATAGGTTGTAATTCTACACACAACATACAGCACACGTCCACACATCAGAGTTAACGTGTTAGTGCTCACCTGTGATGTCATACCACAGCAGCCTCTGTGTCTCTGTGAGGATGTTCCCCACCATGTGAGTGACAGGATCCGTCTGCATGACAAAGAAGGTGAGGTTTGGCTCGTCAAACGCCAGCAGCTCGGAGGTGGGCGTCGGCTTGGGGATCCACTCCACATCGAGGCGGACTGTTGACGACCTCGCCGGGCTCCCGCGGTCCTCTGCTTTGATCTGACAGAGGGAAGGGATGGGGTGGAGAGCACGTGTTATTGAGCTGGTGTGGATCTTTGTGTTACTCATCACAGTACATGAGAACATGACAGGGTTGGTGTTCATGCCAATGGTGTTCACATGCAACTTCACATGCAAGTTTACACGCTCCCTCCATGTGAATGAGAGCCATGAAAGAAGATGTGGTTGTATTTGTTTAGGGATAGCAGGTGTCCTACAGAGTGCTCCACCGCTGTGTGTGGTTGTGAAAAGCAGAAGGATCTGTGGAACATGTAACTATGCGGTTAAGATCTTGTCCACCTACCGTGAGGATGCTGTAGTTGCCTGCTGTAAAGTCCCCCCGTGCCGTCACCACCCCAGTGTCTGGATGGATCTCAAACCTCTCGTCCTGGTTGTCCTGGAGACTGAAGGTGACCTCAGCATTAGGCCCTACATCGTTGTCCTGGGCAACCATCCGGCACACCTCCACCTGTGGCTCTGACCCCTGACCCCTGTGTTGCTCAGGTAGTTTTACCTGGAACCAATCAATGAATCAATCAGTCACATTTATTTATAAAAGCCCTTTATTACGTCAGCAGTTGTCACAAAGTGCTTTAATAGTAAGTGGGGCTGAATGGGGCTGAATGGCATCATATTCCCTAAGTAGTGCAGTATTTTTAACCAGATATCGTCCCAGCCAAAAATAGTGCACAATGGCTGCATTTAGACAGGCAGCCCAATTCATATATATATATATATATATATATATATATATATATTTTTTTTCACTAATTGGTCTTTTCACCAATCATATCATCTCTGAAAAATATCTGATGTTAAAAGATCTGATGTTATTGGTCAAAAGATAAATGAGTGGAAAAATATCAGAATTGGGCTGCCTGTATAAACGCAGCCTATGTAGGAAAAAGGATGACATTTGAGACGCTGACCCGAAACCCCAAAGAGCCAACAGAAGCAGACCTGGAAGAGCTTGTGGTTGAACTGGGGTCTGTTGTCATTCTCATCCAGCACCTGGATGATCACTATAGAAGTGGAGCGGAGAGCAGGGGCTCCGTTGTCTGACACTATCACCTGAGAGGAGAAGAGGGGGAAGATGGGTTAGTCTAACAGCAGGATATGGAGGAAGAGGGGTTAGTCTAACTGTAGGATATGGAGGAAGAGGGGTTAGTCTAACAAAAGGATATGAAGGAAGAGGGGTTAGTCTAACTGTAGGATATGGAGGAAGAGGGGTTAGTCTAACAGCAGGATATGGGGGACTGATAGAGACTTAAATGAAATAAAAAAGTTGTATGTATTATAAATCACATATTCACAAGACTACACACGTTGTGGATCTTTTATAGACTAGTTTAAACTCTCATTTCTGGCCTTTTTAACGATCTCATAAAAAATGCACATGTTTAATCACAAGCAGGTGTCTCAATCTCTCACCTCGACACTGTGCTCAAAATTCTGTTCCCGGTCCAGAGATGTCAGAGTGCTGATGACGCCTAAGAAAACAGAGAGGGTAGACAACAGAGAGAGGGGAGAAAACAGAGAGGGGGGAGAAAACAGAGAGGGGGGAGAAAACAGAGAGGGGGAAGATAACAGAGAGAGGGGAGAAAACAGAGAGGGGGGAGAAAACAGAGAGAGGGAAGATAACAGAGAGGGGGAAGAAAACAGAGAGAGGGCAGAAAACAGAGAGAGGGGGGAGAAAACAGAGAGGGGGGAGAAAACAGAGAGGGGGGAGAAAACAGAGAGAGGGCGGGGGGGTAGAGAGAGAGAGAGAGGACAGAGAGAGATTGAATTGAATTGAGAGGGGGAAGATGGGAGGGAAGGAGGAAGATGAACAGGGTCATCAATATGGAGTCTTTCCCACATGGACAGCAGTAGCTGGGTCGTTCCACGAAATGAGGTGCCTTTTGCGTCCCTTTGATATTTTAAGTAGAAATTGTGCACCAATATTGAATTTTAAAAGCCTGTTATGTTAAATGAAGTGCCCTTTAATATAGAACACATGGAGAATTCAATAAATCAGATTTGTATATGAATATGTCCCTCTGTCAACCCTGTGTCACTTCTAGGAAGATTTTAACCCACTTAATCCAAACATTTCTCCAAGTTTCACCATCATTGTGAAGCCCAAGTTATTTTGTTGCTTTGACAAAGTCCTTTCTGAAGATTATTATTTATTTCATGTGATTAGTGATTCATTTATGTCCTTCCCTCATTTCAAGGTCAGTCCTGTTAGGGGTGGCAGGTCGCCTAGAGGTTAAGAGTGTTGGGCCAGTTACTGAAAGGTTGCTGGTTTAAATCCCTGAGCTGACCACGTGAAAAATCTGTCGATGTTCCCTTGAGCAAGGCACTTAACCCTAGTTGCTCTGGATAAGAGCGTCTGCTAAATGACAAACATGTAACGTGAACTGAACTCTCATTTTAATAGGGTGAAACTATTCCTTCTTAAATATATTTTTTAAAGTCAATTCATAGAGTAAAAGCAGGTGAGCTTCTACAATTTTTTTGGCCAATTTCTGGTGTTTTGTTGTGGAAAACTGAGCGTATCAAGCATAACACATCAACCCTGTTACCCTTTGTTACCCTTGTTATTGTTAAGATAAACAGGCTAGAAATGTTTTAACAAAAAACAATTGCCACTGCCTGTTGCACACAACAAGCTTCCATTCCTCCTGTCACAAGGGGATTTATGTCTGATTTAAGAAGAAATCGTCAACCCTATTATGGTCAACCATGTAACTTTTGGCACTTAAATGGGCAGTGCAGTCAAAAACGTGATTTCCCTGCGTTTTATATATGTAAAAGCTGTTTGAAATGACCACCTGAAATGTCATCTTGTTTGCATGAGTGAGTTTTTTGGATAAGTTAATAGACCAATTACAAAGAGAGTTTGCCCTCCTCTCTGCCAATAACAGCTAATTTTTAGGTGACACATCCCTCCCCTTAGGCTCTTCCAATTAGGCACCTCACTTAGACCACTCCCTGATCCCTCCCCTTAGGCTCTTCCAATTAGGCGCCTCACTTAGACCACTCCCTGATCCCTCCCCTTAGGCTCTTCCAATTAGGCACCTCACTTAGACCACTCCCTGATCCCTCCCCTTAGGCTCTTCCAATTAGGCACCTCACTTAGACCACTCCCTGACAGTTCCCAGCAAAATTCTTGCTTGAGAAATTGCTTTTTGTTAAGATAACATTTGTGTTTCTTTTTGACCATTTTAATTGAAAACAATCACAGTACGGTACTTAAATGTTACCCAGAAATTATTTGATATTGTGATAAAAATGGCTGCACTGGACCTTTAATCAGTGATGTAAAGTAATTAAGTAAAAATACTTTGTTTTTTTGGGGGTATCTGTACTTTAAATCCACTACATTATTAAAGAAAATAATGTAGTTTTTACTCCACCCAAAAGTACTCGTTTTTTTTATTAAGTTGAACATGTGCTCTTTATGTTAAAATTAGTTGAAATCAAACGTTTTTGGGGGGGACCAAGTTACGCTTCTCAAAAGGCACCAAATTGGTGGAATGACTCTGCACACCTGTCACCATCTGAGCCCCAGGCAGTCTGTTGTTGTTGTTTTTTTGTTTTTTTTGTTTTTTTGCTTTATGGTCTAGTCTTCACTGAAGAAACCTCTGAGAACTTTCCTGAGCCTGTTATTTTCATAAAATACTCAACCTTTTAGGACTGTGGATATTTTACTACTATAATGTGTGTTGCAGGAGTTAGCCAATGCAATCTATCAGGTTAGCATCTTTCATCATGAATATTGTACTGGAGGCAGCTCTGTAGTGGTCACTAGCTGGCACAGCCACAAAATCATAAAATCTGATTTTAAACCCAACCCTAACCTTAACCCTAACCTTAACCACACTGCTAACCCTAATGCCTAACCATAACCTTAAATTAAGACCAGAAAGCAATTTTTGCTTTCATAAAATTTTCTAATAAAGCCAATTTTGACTTTGCAGCTGGCCTAAGGGGAAATCGCTCAGTTCTGCCTCCAGGACAAGTCTTATGACAATAAACGTCAATCTATCCACTTATACGCTATCCACTACTGCATTGTCATTTGGTAGAGATTTCCAATGCTGCTTCTGTCCCTCTAACAATGGCGCCGGAGGAGATGGCTGCCGTTTTACGGGCTCCTAACCAATTGTGCTATTGTGTGTGTTTTTTTGCATACTTTGTAAATTGTTTAGTATATAATGTTTCTTCCACCGTCTCTTATGACCGAAAAGAGATTGTGTATATCAGGACAGCGATTACTCACCCCGTACTGGATAAAGATTTTTGATTTAACGAGTCGGACGCGAAGGATTTACTTCAGACACCCGACAAGGCCCAAATCCCTGTCATTCGCATGAAGAAGAGACAGAGATATCGGGGACGTAGGTCGGGGTGCCTTGTAAGGATCTGACGGCGAGTGGGTAATCTGCCTCTACCATCAGTCCTATTAGCCAAAGTACATTGGATAATAAAATGGATGAGCTCCGATCAAGAATATCCTACCAGTGGGACATTAAAAACTGTAATATCTTATGTTTCACCAAGTCGTGGCTGAACGACGACATGGATAACATACAGCTGGTGGGGTTTTTGGGGCCTCCGGTAAGACAAGGGGTGGCATTCTGTGTATACTTGTAAATAACAGCTGGTGCACGAAATCTAATATTAAGGAAGTCTCGAGGTTTTGTTCACCTGAGATAGAGTATCTCATGACAAGCTGTAGACCACACTATTTACCAAGAGAGTTTTCATCTATATTTTTCGTAGCTGTCTATTTACCACCACAAACTGATGCTAGCACTAAGACCGCACTCAACGAGCTGTATAACGCCATAAGCAAACAAGAAAATGCTCATCCAGAGGCGGCGCTCCTAGTGGCCGGACACTTTAATGCAGGGAAACTTAAATCTGTTTTACCTAATTTCTACCAGCATGTGCAACCAAAGGGAAAAAAACTCTAGACCACCTTTACTCCACACACAAAGCTCTCCCTCGCCCTCCATTTGGCAAATCTGACAATGATTATATCCTCCTGATTCCTGTTTACAAGCAAAAACTAAAGCAGGTAGTACCAGTGACTCACTCAATACAGAAGTGGTCAGATGACGCAGATGCTAAGCTACAGGACTGTATTGCTAGCACAGACTGGAATATGTCCCGGGATTCTTCCTATGGCATTGAGCAGTACACCACATCAGTCACTGGCTTCATCAATAAGTGCATCGATGATGTCGTCCCCACAGTGACTGTACGTACATACCCCAACCAGAAGCCATGGATTACAGGCAACATCTGCACTGAGCTAAAGGGTAGAGCTTCCGCTTTCAAGGAGCGGGACTCTAACCCGGACGCTTATAAGAAATCCCGCTATGCCCTCCGACGAACCATCAAACAGGCAAAGCGTCAATACAGGACTAAGGTTGAATCGTCTACACCGGCTCCGACGCTGGTCGGATGTGGCAGGGCTTGCAAACTATTACGGACTACAAAGGGAAGCACAGCCGTGAGCTGCCCAGTGACACGAGCCTACCAGACGAGCTAAATTACTTATATGCTCGCTTCGAAGCAAGCAACACTGAAGCATGCATGAGAGCATCAGCTGTTCCGGATGACTGTGTGATCACACAGTTCTCCGTAGCCGATGTGAGTAAGACCTTTAAACAGGTCAACATTCACTAGGTCGCAAGGCCAGATGGATTACCAGGACGTGTACTCCGAGCATGCGCTGACCAACTGGCAAGTGTCTTCACTGACATTTTCAACCTGTCCCTGACTGAGTGTGTAATACCAACATGTTCCCTGTGCCCAAGAACACTAAGATAACCTGCCTAAATGACTACCGACCCGTAGCACTCATGTCTGTAGCCATGAAGTGCTTTGAAAGGCTGGTCATGGCTCACATCAACACCATTATCCCAGAAACCCTAGACCCACTCCAATTTGCATACCGCCCCAACAGATCCACAGATGATGCAATCTCTATTGCACTCCACACTGCCCTTTCCCACCTGGACAAAAGGAACACCTACGTGAGAATGCTATTCAGTGACTACAGCTCAGCGTTCAACACCATATTGCCCTCAAAGCTCATCACTAAGCTAAGGACCCTGGGACTAAACACTTCCCTCTGCAACTGGATCCTGGACTTCCTGATGGGCCGCCCCCAGGTGGTAAGGGTAGGTAACAACACATCTGCCATGCTGATCCTCAACACGAGGGCCCCTCAGGGGTGCGTGCTCAGTCCCCTCCTGTACTCCCTGTTCACCCATAACTGCATGGCCAAGCACGACTCCAACACCATCATTAAGTTTGCCGATGACACAATGGTGGTAGGCCTGATCACCGACAACGATGAGACAGCCTATAGGGAGGAGGTCAGAGACCTGGCCGTGTGGTGCCAGGATAACAACCTCTTCCTCAACGTGACCAAGACAAAGGAGATGATTGTGGATTACAGGAAAAGGAGGACCGAGCACACTCCCATT